AATCAAAGAAATTTATCAATCAATCAGTCAATCAATCAATCAATCAATTTGAACACGTTATAACGATAATTTTACAATGAACAGTTTGATGAAACAAATGATTTATACAAATGCCAGAAAAGCGAATTTTACTTCTTGGCACAAATCCGATCATTTGCTGCTAATGACGACGTCATATTTTGGTTTATTGAGTATTTATAAGAATACACATATAACATGAACGAGTATCGTTTGTAATGATTAATGGTCTCCTTCTTCCTGGTTAAGGTCAAATGAAGCAAAGAAAAATCAACCTCCTGTCAAAATCTTGAAATGAGCTCATTTGTTGGTTACCAGATCAGCATGGTTGGCAGGGTACGATAAGATATAGGGGTATCACTGGGTTAGAGAGGATACCGCGTTTCACCAGGTGTCCACACGAGTTGTTTTACGCTCCAGGTATGACCGTGAATTATTTCCCAATTTCTACCTTAAATCGAGTCTTTTGTGCCTGAAATTTTCGGAAGTTCCAAAGTATCCTACGTTTGCCATTTAACAAACTGGATTTCATGTAGCAATGCACTCGCGTTGTCAATATTTCTCAGTACCCATGCTACCTGTATCAGCAATGAAAATGTACATCAAAGTAGGAGATAAGTCAATTAATGGTTGTATTACACTCCTTATTTAGTGAAATTTGCAGGAGAGTATAACAAAAACATGACATTAATATTTCGTTTTCTTACCGTCACTCAGTCATAAACATATTTTGTAACGCCTTATGACGTACGTTTTTTAAAGTACTGATACAATTGAATATTCCAAACCTCCGTATCTCATTATGATATCATTACTATCAAACCGTTCAAACATGTATGTTGCTAAAACTGTATTTTCAAGATATTTTAACATTAGTTTGGAAAGAACAAATGAGAAAAATAAGAAACAGTAAAAGTTATTAACATAAAGTTGTTTCCAGAAACCAAGATTGAAAAAAGGGGGAACCAATGTGTTCAATTCATATCAAAAGAAACAGAGGCAAGTGCCATGTAGAAATAGTTAGTAACACAGAAAAGAAAGGCCAGACAGGATATAGTTGAATGTTGAATGTGCAGAAAGAGGTCAAGGGAGGTTTAGAGAGAGAGAGAGATAGAGAGAGAGAGAGAGAGAGAGAGAGAGAGAGAGAGAGAGAGAGAGAGAGAAGAAATAAAGAGATATAGTGAGTGAGAGAGAGGGAGAGAGAGAGAGAGAGAGAGAGAGAGAAAGAGATATGGTGAGAGAGAGAAAGAAAGAGATAAAGTGAATGAGAGAGAGAGAGAAAGAAAGTGAGGGAGAAAGAAAGAGAGGGAGAGAGAGAGAGAGAGGGGAGAGAGAGAGAGAGAGAAAGAGAGGGGAGAAAGAGATAACATAAAGAAAGGGGAAATAAAGATAGAGATATAAAGAACGAAGAGGGGGAACAGGATTCAGGTAGGAAAGTGAAAGGTACACTCTAAGTCCCCTTCTACCTATCAATCAAATTGGACTCTCACTTAACACACACAGTAGGTGAGCGTTTGGTTTACCTCTCACTCACCTATGTCTGGCTCCTTTGAAGTACACCGCACCAGACACCACACCTGAAATACCTCATTAGTGCAAGAATGCAAGACCGCTGACAGAACAGACTGAACATGGTATAGAAGTGAACGCATTATCCCCGGTAACAGGTAAACTAGAATAAACTTTTTTTATTATCAGTATTGCGTATTCAAATATTGTCGTATTTGACTATTATACCTTTTGATTCATAGGTATTAGGAATCTTCTCTATATATCCCCTTTGTTGCGAATCTTCTGCCATCTTCCATTTTTGTGTTCAAAAGAAAATTTCGTGTGTCATGTGTCATGTCATTCCGTTAACTTAATAAATCTTACGTCATCAACAATGCCACACTGTTTTCTATATTCCTGCTATTATAACTGCGTAGAAATTTATACCTGTTCATAGTGGATAAAACCATGCACCAGCACACATCATACCTATAAAAAAATGACTATCTCACACGTTGTGTCAGCGATGCACTGTTATGTTAGAAAGTGAGAGAGAGAGAGAGAGAGAGAGAGAACGAGAGAGGGAGGGAAGAACAAGACGAAGAGGAGAGAGAGGGAGGGGAGAGAGAGAGAGAGAGAGAGAGAGAGAGAGAGAGAGAGGAGAGAGCAATCATTGATCCAATCATAACACGGCTCTCAAATCATATCATGTAATTACTGTCATATCAACGTCAAAATTTAATTGAGAGGTGAGATAATCCGATCTCTATTAACACCGCCTTCCATTGAGATGGTATTTTGATACTCAACAGGAAAGAGTGGGAATGGCAATGATAGCTAGTCGAAGGTTAGTTAGCGTAACCTTAATTCTGAAGTTTTGACAGAGTGCGATACATGCACCGGCTCGTTATCTTGTGTCGGTGGTGGCGGTGTTTTCATAAAGCGCAGGTGTGTTGCGCAGAGGCGTCACTAATGAGAGACCTTGTTCATACTTCGACGTGGTTCTTTTAAGGTACTTAAAAGGACGTCACACGTAGCAGTACACTATGTCGACGTGTGAATATAAAAGTCCCTTTTCATGGAATAATTTGGACTCTTCGTATAAGAATTATGAATGGAATCTGTCTCTTATTTTGTAATTGGGTACTATCGAAATTACTTTCTGTTTCTGCATATAAGTTTTCATAATGTTGCGAATAAATCATAGTTGGTTTGTTTTTCTCATCTGGGCCCTGCCTTTAATATAAAGAGTAGCGATTGATTCGAATCAATCACAAATCCTCTAATCAATCGCAAGTTTGCAGTCTCATGATTACGATTGGTATCAATCACAAATTAGATGTGATTTATCGCAAATGTTAACCCATTGCTTACTGGAACCTGGTGGACCCTGTGTTAAGTCTATGGGAATTAGATAATTCACTAGCCAACTTGTTAATAAGACGGGGCCCTGGTCGCATTAATCATCTTCTTCATTCTTCAAGTAATGACGACGGCAATGTGGAGCTCTAGATTGGTCTTCGAAAATCTACTATCATTTCCTCAACAAGGCAGCTTGCTTTCTATGCAATAAGTCGGTCGGTACATCTTTAGAGACACAAAGAATTTCGCAATTTTTTCCCCTTGAATTATCAGAAGCTGCCTCACCTTTGCTTAAATCGCAGGCGCGTAAAAGATCAAACTATTACCTTTATTAGTACTTCAATTATTTATTTTTGGTAAAAATCTATTACTCTTGTTGGCATAAATGTACTTTTTCTAAATGTATTACAACTAATATAAAATATACGGCATATGTTCACGTTTCTCTTTGATAATGCACATAGTTAATTAGTGTTCTATTTAAAAACGTTCTTATTAAGAAGTTTGAAACAACTACTTTAAATGGAAATCACTGGAACAAACATTCGCTTAATCATCACATCACCCCATTTTGTTTTCAATATTTTTTTTAATATTGATACCAAACAATACAAATCAATCTTAGAAATAAAATACAGTTGTTTTTCCTTGATATGAATTCAAAACATTTTCATTACATAGATTGAACAATTGATGAAAACAAAAATAAAAATGAAATCAGCCGTAACATCAAACAAATAACCCATCTAACCAAACACACTGCTACCCTCCCCACCAGACACACAACCCGACCACAGTTCCACCACACATGCGCGCACACAACATTTATCGGCCCCGTTCTTATTTATTTAAAATAAAAAATCAAGTATCGTTGACGACATAAAAACATTTCTATTTACATTTCACGTCACATTGATATCAACAACGGCGCTTAAAAATAAATGATTTTTCACATTTTTTCATGTCTAATCGGCTTATTTGTTTTACATTTTTCTACATATTCGATTTTCGTTGTTTAAAATTTTTAAATATACAAATATATATACGATTGTTTCTTTTGTTATTTTTTCCAAAATCATATATATTTATCAATGCGAGATCTTCGGCAGTCTATACTACCAGTTGCGTGTGGGGTCCCCGATTACAGCGTCAAATCCATTCATAAGGATAAACATTCTACCGCTACTCCGTCGCAGGGGTTATGAAAATATTGATATAAATTTGATATGAAAACGTCGGGCTTTCTTTAGGCTAACTGTGTGTTCCTCCGCCACTTCATCATAAAAAATGAGAATATGGAGAGGAGTTATTTGGAGCATAATGGCTGGCTCTGAAACGGAAGAAACCGTTTTTCACTGTGGGGAAGTAAGTGGTGGTGTGTGGCTAAGGTTAACAGGGGTGGCATAAACAAGTCCTTTGTCAAGACATCCGAAATTATCCTCAGCACACAAAATTGAAGCATGCAGCTATTCAAACTTCAAATTTGTATCCGCTCGTGGTTCTTAGGTGAGAAATGATACAGCACTGATAAAATGACGCGCATAATGTCTTCTCATTACTTAAAATTAATCATATTATTTGCTGAAAACAACATCTTTCCAGTTCTGTCTCATCATTCGAATCATGGAAAATAGAAATGGCAATTACTGACTTTATATTTCTATACCATCATCTTTAAACCGAGATACGAAATGTGCACTTACAAAAGAGGTTATGGTTATCTGGGTATAGGTAACTTAAGCAGAATATTTCGTTTATAGTAATAATGATTAAGAACATCGTCAGTTTTTGTTTGAGATGATTTCCGTTTTTGACAAGAGCAATAAGGGAAATCGTCTTTACTAACAATATTTCTTCACCACAGTATATCAAACATAATTTATTTTTTAAAGCAAATAATGAAATAAAAGCCTTTTTTGATGTAAAGTTTAATAGTATATGATTCATTGATCCCTTGTTTTGCTGACTGGATAGAGGTAAACTTCAGCACAGTGAGAACGGAGTCTTTTTTTGAGCGATTATCTCAGCATAAAAACACGATATAAATTGTTATTGGTGAAGAGATATCATGTCGCCTTCAATTATCATCATGATGGAGTCCTGCGCCGTTCAAAATCAGGAGGAAAAATATGAAAAATTGGAACAAACAGGACCAAGCCACCCAGGAAGATGGGTCAGAGGGAATGGCGAAGAGATGCTCTCCGTGCTGCGCCCTGAACCACAGTAACCTGCAGGCTAGGGCTGGGAGGTATGGTATAAGGGCAGACGGAGTGGAGAGGGGGAGGGTGGACGATGGGAGCAGAGGCGAAGGTGGTGAAGATAGTGGTGGTGGTGGTGGTGGTGGTGGTGGTGGTGGCGGACATGATGATGATGATTAAGATAAGGATGATAATGATGGTGACAAAGATAAGGATGATGGTTATGGTGATTATAATGATCATAATGATGATGATATTGAGGATGTGGATGATGGTGATGAAAATTGTGACAATGATGATGATGATGATGATGATGATGATGATGATGATGATGGTAGTATGAAGGAAATTATAGAGTTGAAGAAACGGGGTATTTGTGTTGACACATATGAGGTTTTTGCTGCTGTGACACGAGAGTCTTTGAAAATGTGATATTACGTTGTTGGAGTTCGGTACTGTCGTGGTAGTGGTGGTGGTGGTGGTGGTGGGAGTTGGAGTAGTGGTGGTGACATTGCTGTTGAGGTTGTATAAGTAGTGAGGGTTATCATTACGATGATTTTGTTGATGGCATATCAAATTAAAACAGAGTGTCAAATAATTATATTAGTCATGAGCGCTATACAATAACCTACTATCATTATAGTGCAGTTACTTTAATAATAAGTGAAAGAACCGGCTACAGGAAAATGAAAGGGCTCGAAAAAAGGGAGAATCGACTTATCAAACAAGAACATGCATTCTGAATTGAAAATTGAGCTTAAGAGATGAAAAGAGGAAAAAGAAGATCGAAAAGGACAACGATGCACATCAATGTGTAGGGCTATATAGAAACTATAAAATGCTAGTACAGGTAAGAAAGTATTACTTCTGTCAAACTATAACCTATACTCGAAATGACCTTCACCCTCCACCCCTTGATGTTGGAGCCCCCGATCCCCTCTACCCGATTCGGATCATCTCCCACCCGGTACCTAACCAGTTTAGGCAATGAAACGCTTCCCATTCTATTCCGAAAAAAATTCTCTCTCTAAAACAAACACAAACAATCTCTGATCATATCTCCTTCAAGGCTCAAAACAGACAGCCCTTTGCCTTATTAGTGGGCAATAAAGTTTCAAGCTGTAATTCGCCCCGCTTTGCTATTTGGCGGAAACCCCGCGGTTTTCAAGCCAACCCGCTGCGCTAACAGGCCTTACTCTCAGTCGGGCAGGGTATCAATATTACCCGCGCTATTACCTTTCGTGTTCTCCTCTCACCGATGTACTTTATATCAACGAACCAAAGTACATTCAGTCATCCTCCTTTCCCTGTCATAATATTGTTTTTTCAGTCACAGAGAAACCTTGTTCACATTTTGTAATGTAATCACATGTGATGATTGTTTCCGCTAGAGTATTAGCAGCGTAGAATAAGCGTAATTTCATATCTAAATACGTGAAATAGACAATATCAGTCAATATCAGTCAGTGTTTTTTGTCTTTTTAAAACCTCGTCCATGCCTTTGAAAGATACGTGGTCGTTTTTAGTTTTGTGCTTTCTTATATGACGCCCTTGCTCGATCTATTTAAGTTTTTTATTTTTTATTTGGCTGTTTAACTGTATACCTCGCCCTCTATCTTTAGATTCTGCTTTCTAATGAAACACTCCCGATCCAAGTAAAGATAAAATGTTCCATTTAAACTTTAAGAGTGGGTAGGATGAACAGAAAGGGAAAGGTCTGGGTGGGGAGAGAAATTAAGAGAGAGAGAGAGAAAGAGAGAGAAAGAGAGAGAGAGAGAGTGAGTGAGAGAAGGGGAATGAGAGATGAAAAAGAGGTATAGGAGCAGAGGGGTACAAGGTGAATGAGAGAGAGAGAGAGAGAGAGAGAGAGAGAGAGAGAGAGAGAGAAAGATAGAGAGAGAGAGAGAGAAGGAGAGTGGGTGGAAAGGAGAAGGATTGGTAAAAAAAAATGGGAGGGAGAGAGGTGGGAATTATTCAAAAGAGACAGAGAGAGGAAAGATGGAGAGAGAGAGAGAGAGAGAGAGAGAGAGGAAGAGAGAGAAGGCGGATTGACAAGGCATGTGTAGCCCTAGACTATGTAGACATCAGATCGAAATAGACCGCCAAGAGAGTACCCCCATCATAAAGTAGGCGGGGCTAATTACACTCTTGGTACTAACACGGAAATGGGATTCGATTCGGAAATAGCCGTTGACTTTCTTTTGTAAACCCTCAATTAATAAGATTCCGACACATTCCTACGAACTGTGTCTCGGTTGCTTAGGATCTCTCGCTCTCTCCTATCATATATTCATTAGTAATTTCTCGTTTGTCTCAAGTAAAGTTTGAGGGGTAGAGGAGTTGAAACTTTGACTAAAAGCAAACTTTTATTGATTATTATCGACTTATCAAACTTTCTGATGCAAGTATTCGGTGGTCGATTTTCCATGACTGTTATCTCATTTGAAGAAAGTTCTTAGTCAAATACTTTTTTTCAACAACAAAATTAACAGACTTATCGTTACCTTTTGAAGATTTATTTTTCTTTAAAGCCATGCAAGTTAGTGGATCGAGCATTAAACCAGGTGCGGGTGTCTTTGCCATCGGCACCTCACTTCCCGGCTACCCGAGCCTAGCGGGCGCGGACGTGCCGCGTCCGAGCTTAGCCGCTATTCGCCACACACCTGCCGCGGGAGATGTTGCCGAGTTGCCTCGTGCAGCCATTCCTCGGGTAAACAACCTCGCTATTTTGTTACCAAACTCGACTTTAAAAACATCAAGAACTGAAAAATACGCAAACTCATTTATTTCAGACTTAAAGTCAGGCACGGGAAGTACAACCATGAAAAAGTGCGGATTTTCAATTGATGATATTTTGCATTCGTCGTCGCGATCTTCGTCACCACCGCAACAGAGATGTTTGCCATCGCCGGATCTTCGGCGGAAAAGTCCTCCGGATAACGCCATCAGTCCAAGAAGTCAGCCAACAAACATTGAATTCTTTGCAAGACTTCAAAGCAAGTTTTATCAAGATTTAAAACTTAATGGACTGCAACTGTCATCTTTAAGGCCATCTTCCAACGCGAACCTGTATTCTTTGTCTGGTAAGTCTTCTGTTAATTCTGTATATTTATTAAATCTAAAACAATAAACCCTGGAGTTTGAAAGAATCGACCTTTATAAATCCAAAGGGAATTGTAAGAGGTACACCGACGTGAACTTAAACTGGCACAATTGAAATCTTCATTAAGATCATCATCATCATCATCATCATCACCATCATCATTTATATTAAAGACCATCGTCATCCTCCCCCTCCTCATTATCATTATCAATCATTATCATCGGTAACATCATCATATTACCATCTCTACTTTTTTTTGTGGAGAAAAGCGAGTACTGCTAGTGATACAATTATGATGATGATCTCGATGATTATAATAGTAATTCGTATAGGGCAGTAATATTATTATTACAATTAGTAGTAGCAGCAGTAGTAGTAGTAGTGGTGGATGTATTATTATTAGTAGTAGTTGTAGTAGTAGAAATCATATTGACAATCATTGTAATGATATTGGTGTCTTTGGTGATGATAATAACGTATTTATACCGAGAATTGTCCATATACATGTTCAAATGTTGTTAACTATTATATCACTTAAACAAGAAAGCTGAACATTGATTATGAAGGATGAGTTTTACGCAATTATTCAAATAATTTAATCATGTTCCTGTTTTGGTTGAACCTTCCCTCACAGTTTAATTGGAAATGAAAAATACTGTTGAAACAACTTTTCCCATACCCCCAAGTGGTCTTTCCGAAGAAAAACAGAACATTAGAACCAAACAAGTATCTCATATCTAGTAAACAATTTCTTGCAGTCAGTACGTGATTCCTTGCAATACTATGTCATTCAATTCCTGCAGTTCTATCTCACCTAAGGCAAGGGCAAAGGCCTCTTTCACAAGGTCATGAAAGTGTTCAATTAAATAATGATTCTATTCATTTTTACTTGAATTCATGAAATGAAACAATGTCACATAAAGTTCAAGGAAGTATATTCCGATTATGCTAATACATTGAGATTGAATATTGCAACTTGCACTCAAGTAAGCCGGTTTTTACGACAACACCATCAACAACTACAATTACTACTATTTTTATTACTACTACTACTTTTACTGATATTACTAGTATTAACACTACAGTACTTCTACTACTACTTCTATATAGTTTCGTCGTCGTCATCATCATTATCATAATTATGATCAGCATCATCATCATCACAATTTGTATCACTATCCTCATCATCACCTACATAATTAGCATTATTATGAAATGATAATGATAATAACAAAACTTATCAACCTATATATATTTTTTAAAGATATAATAATACCAGCAATCAATATAAATGTCAGAGCACTCTTGTGAATCGATACAATCAAGCATCGGGTAAATGTTTATCTCAAGATAAGAATCTTTATTTCAGCATTTCAATCCAGTACTATTATTAAAAAATTCATCCCCCAAACGAGAACAATTGTATAAAAGGCGAATCCCCTATTTAACATACGACCAATCAATTGGCTCAGAATGATTCTCAATCATGTTTAGGATGGTTCTAAATTTCAAGGAAATGCAATACCATGATAAGTATTCATATAAGATTCATCACAAAAGTGGTCTTTCTTAAAAATGAATGCATATCTGACATTGTCAATAAATGGTTTAATTTAAAAATGCCCCCTTTGATACAAGAATTGTGTAAATAAATCCAGATTTTTACTAAATAATCTCATATTCCTTATTGCTGGTGGAAGTACCCAAAAAATGAATAAAAAAATTTCAAGGAAACAAACGTAAACATAGGGGCTGATAGTTCTTATCTTCTAAAGCGTTTGAAATTGTAGGAAAAGAATGTGCATGTTATAGCATTGGTTTACATACTGGCTCGCAGATATACAATTGATGCAATTTATACTTTGCTGTAATAATGGTGGAGTATTCTTGATTTATTTTGCGGCCGTATTATACATGAAGGTAATCTTCGAAGACACAAAGTTCCTGCAAAGAGCCCTTAGCTTCACCTTCCTCTATTAGATATGTCTTTTCCATTATTCTAATTGATCAAATTCTTTTTTTCGATTAAGATGTTCCTTTTGTTTGAGAGTCCTGATTATAGAATATGCTGAGTAAAATAAAAAAATAAAAAATCTAGTCAAAGCGTTACATTCATAGGAACACAGTAACGTTAATTTTGATTAATAATATCACTCACGTACGGAACATGTTCATGAAGAACAAAATACACAGATAACAGATAAAATATTTAGTTCAATATTTCAAACTTTATAATTCTCACATTGCGAAAGAATGACCGAATTATTTTCATTTCCAACAAAATAAATAAAGTACATGGGATTGCATTGTACATAGTAAAACAATGAAACTTAACGACATATTTGTAATTGGTCCACAGTGTACAATAGTTATATAAAATAGGTTGGTCATGGAGGGGACTGCTGAAAAGCTGGGCTTGTAGATTGCAGCCCCCTATAACTTATAGTTGCAAAAATAGTATATCAATAATAACGGAACGCACAAATACATAATATTGAAATATGTGATAGATTCAGATATAGCGCCTTTCAATAAAGAGATGTTCAGTTTCCAATAGGAAATATTTTACAACTGATACCAGTAGTGAGTAAAGTTGCTTTAAAATGTATATTGTATTTGATCTCTTTCAAGGTAGGTACAGGGTTTAAGACCAAGTTCGATTTAGGTTTTTAAGTTTTTAGCTCGCTTAACCTCTTTTATTGTTCCAGGAGTACGTACACCAGGACAATTTCTTTATTTTTCTACATATTTTCAAGTCAATAATTTTCAACAAGAAATTTCTTTGGGACATAGTTTATTATGTTTAACATTGAAAATGTTAACATTTCTCATTCTTTATCCTATAAAACCTTCTCTGTCGTGATGACTTTACATCCGGGTATTATGACCAAATCAGAACACGCCATGTTTTATTGTCATCGTCGTGTATATATACGGGTCGGTACATGACAGCCCCTCTTACCCCCTTCCAAAGTAATGCCACCCATTTTCCGTCATTACTGGTATATCATCCTCCCTCATTACCAATCCATTATCCTTCTAATTGGATAATTGACTGGGCTAGGAAATTGCCCGGACCTACTTAAGAGAGAGATAGTAATACTATAGCCCTTTCCCTGCAGCCGTATTGTTCTGTCAGAAGAGTTAAGGTAATGAACTTTGACGGGATGGGCGGGAAACGTCGTCTCTTACCGCCAGAGTCCTAGGCGAAAAACGTACCAATGCACCGCTGCTAGATATAAAGATGCAAGCCCTGTTGTTATAAGGATAATTCAGTTATTTTAAATCACATCGTGTAATGTCTTATGTAAGCATCTTTATTAAAATGTTAAAGTATTTTTTTCAACAAAAGCATATTAATAATAACATTTAAACCCGTTTGTATATCGCATAACACACAGGCGTTATTTTATGTCTCTTTGCAATTTACAGAACATAATACAGGAATTGAATGGTACACTTGGTTCTATAATTGTGAGATCTTACAAAGTGCTAAATAGATATGTTTTCAAATTACTTCTGAATTTTGCATATGTTTTCATATTCATAAAGTACTCCAGCAAGTTTTTACATACATGAGTGGCTGCATATGAAAATGACCTTTCTCCATAAGATTTTGTAACAATTAGAGACATAAAACAAAGATATTTATATTATCATCATATCAACTAAAAAGGAAAGTATATTTGTCCTTCCTTTTTGTTGTGATATTGTAAAATATTAAAGATATAAACAGAGATACAAATTATTGATCATCTATTTCTTATTGAATTTCTTCATCTCGCCCCGCATACGTCACAGAATATTTGACCAATCAGCATCTAGTCAATCGCATGACGTCCCGTGATCAACATCCAAAGAATGATAATAGACACAAATTAGAAAGATTCACGCTCGCACTTACATATGCATTATTTCCTACGGACAAACATACTTACGCCGGATGATCTTTTCATATTTGAAATTATGGCACCTGCCCGGTCTATTATTACAAAGTGGCCCGAGGCATTGGCCTAAAGATAGATAAGTAATTGGAAACAATTCCCGGCTTCGGAAGTATAAACACAGGTGCTCCGTCCAGGCCTAGATAAAAACTGGAAAAAAAGATTGAAGGGGTATTAAGGTATTTTGCTCTTCAAGACTTGTGGGGCAAGTGATTTTGACAAACCTGACAAATAGACCATTGAGTTACTGACCGACTGGTGAGTGCCTTCTAACCTATATATTGCAAGAAAAGTAATACACATACGGCACTGCAATGCATTATTAAACATGAAATGTGATCATTTGAATATGGAAGGGCGCCTGTATTCATTGCACAAAGCATATTATGTTTATTACGTTTATAGACAGTAACGAATCTGCTTCCATTTTTCAAATCCAAACTTATTGATGCCAATAAGGAAGCCCTTCAAACATATAATAACGTTCCGTGATGCGTTGGCATTAAAGAGTGCACTACAACTCCTCGCACATACACACGCCCTCACTCATCCACCACACACGCACACGATAATCATTATGGCGTTAATACAAGTTAAAGGGCATGATATGCAAAGAAAAAAAGGAGACTTTTCGAAGAAAAACGGGTTAACTCAAAGAGCATTCAATCGGACTGCCGTGCATATGGTGGGCAGGTTTAACAAAATCGGGGCACACTTTTCTTATTTGTACACGTCGAACCCAGCGAGCCGCGGAGTAAAACCCGCCGAACTCATGGGGTGGCAGCGGCACGCTTGTCGCCTAGCGCTTAAAAGAATAGGCGCGCGCCGAGAAGTTATTCATAAGAAAAGTCAGATCAAGGCGATATAAGTCGGTCATTCAAAAGCAATGAGAATCCATTTTCAGGCAATTAGTTTGCCAATCATGAGGTCATTACTTTGCCAATCATATTGTCTTGAAAACAAGTTCACTTAATCACTTTAGGTCGACCTTTGTTCGAACTTCTCATTTATTGAGAAGTGATTGTCATGTTTTGATGTGTTAAACACAAAACAAAACGTAAAACAAAATACAAATGTAGATTGGTGTTCACAAAACAATTATTCATTGTCTTCCTGCATAGTTATTTTTCGTTTCCCCTCTAAACATGCAAAAGAGCCTATTTTACAGAAAAGGTACTTACGTTTGTGAAGTTATATCGCCACTAAATGCCTTTTTGTTTTGTTTTTTTGTAATGGATTTGTCTGGTTTAATTCTGTATATTGATGCTTTGTGTTATTTTAATCTCTGTATTTCTATCTCGCTTTTAGTACATTTAAGAATTTTGTAATGTAAATTGTATTATCTCTGGGAATAACCTTGATAGGCCATTGGCCTTTGTTTTACCCCCATCATATTATGATTTAAATTGAGGATGTTTCATTTTAACGTTTGTTAATGTATATAAAATGCATATAAATTGTACTTGTGTTTTTAAGAATCAGATGTGGAAATAACACTTGAACTTAAACTATGGACCACACATCAATGTCTAAACGATGCAAACTTTCGTTAAGTGCTCATTCTACTATGATCCATTTGATTTTCTATCTATTCTCTCTTCTCTCTATCCATTCTCCATATCAACCACGGCAATTCAACTCAGTGCATCAAACCTTCTGATTACTTACGCCCCCCACCCTCTTTCTCCCCCTCTCTCTCTCTCTCTCTCTCCCTCCCCTCTCTCCATCTATCCATCTTATCACTTAAGGGTAGTATTCTAATACACACATTGTTGATTTGAAGTTTCGACTCTTTTTTTGTCCAAAATAATGTTAAAATTTCTAACATATTGACCTGTATTTGCTTGTACTTTCAAGTCCGAGACCAGCATCGCCCCGGATGTGCTTTACATCGCGGACTGCATGATGGTAATTAACGGTGACACGTTAATTGAAAAATACCAGTTGGCGGAGTCTTACCGTCTCCCTACAAGTATATAATGTCTGACATGTGTGTTTCTCCTTAATCTTGGAGTAAGCTTTTCTCGGAAAATGGGTCGCCATTCCTTAAAGGGATAAAACTTTATAGGTTAATTGTAACGAGGCATGTATAATAAACGTATCAACATATTAATTTATAAATGCTATGTATTATTTTTAGGAATATATTTGAAGTTCCTCATCTTATATCATTAATTATCAAGCATCGTTGTCTTTTCCACTCTCTATTTGGTCAGTTCTCCTCCTTGAATAAACCTGTATTTATTGGATAAACCTGCAGTGACAATTAAAATTCTTAAATGATTTTCCAACTACAGTTCATGACGGCAATGTGTATCAGAATCATGTAAATGATATAGAAAATACGAAGTGTGAAAGAGAAAAAGCAAATAATGAGAGGGAGAAGAAGAAGATAGTGGGATGGACTGTTTAAATGTGTGTGTGTGTGTGTGTGTGTGTGTGTGTGTGTGCGAGCGAGAGAGGAAGAGAGAGAGAGAGAGAGAGAAGGAGGCTATAGAAGGAAATGTGGGTAATTGTTACCGAAAGTCAAGTTTATTCATAAGAACAAAGTGATACTTCCCAATGTAAATATCATTGATGGAGAGAGGTTAGGTGGAGAAGGTGTCACGTGACCAAGGTGACGTACACCAATTACTCGATGTATATACATGTAGAACAAATGATAATTCTCCGTCCCGGCAAAATACACATAATAATGAAAGCAATTGAAATTAAAATCTTTGAGAGTGCCTTTCTTCACTAAACCGGTATCAATTTAATTCTGAAATTTCTAAAATATAATTGAAACTGGTCATATCATTTATATAAACTTCTCGAAAGAGGTTTGGAAAACTCAATAATTTTCGATCATATTTCTCTTGTCATGGCATAACCATTGCTGTAATTGTAAGAAAGTTTGTTTATTCGTTTTTAAAATGATATCCCATTGATACGTTTTGTCACTTATTGAATATTAAAGTTTCAGTTCGCTGTTAGCGGTTTAGATTTATTTTATTGAATAATTTGTTATACACCTGGACATGCATGTGTATATAGGACCCTCTCTCTCTCTCTTTCTCTCTCTCTCTCTCTCTCTCTCTCTCTTTCTCTCTCTCTCTCTCTCTCTCTGTCTCTCCCTCTCTATTTCTCTCTCTCTCTCTCTCTCTCTGGGAAAGGGGCGATACATTTTGTGAGAGGGAGAGCATGAGTGAGGAGGAAACCAAGAATAGGAGAGCAAAACATGAGGGGAGGGGATAGGGAAAAAAACATAAAGAGAGAGAGAGGGACGGATGGAGATAAATGCCTCTGCAACTTGAACCTGATCGCGTCTCTCTAAGGAAAGGGAGAGAGAGAGAGGGAGAGAGAGAGGAAGAGAGAGAAAGAGAGGGAGATTGAAGACGAAGAGACTTGAAGAATGTTTGGACCCCACAACAGGGTAAATAGTTTTGTTAGTGTTGGAAATGATTTTTCTATAAGCGTACCACCCTCTAGCCTAATGTCATTTTTGAATCGCAGCGCGCGGCTGGCTCTGGAGCGTCGAGCGGTATCCTGCCGAGATGAAGCGGGTAGGAACTCAGATTTTCTCTTGTCACTGTAGGTCTGTCTATGAATTACTCGCAAGGATCCTGAGGACAGGAAAATCTGAATTACTAAATTCCTGTCATTTCTTTTGTTTCTTGTAGTCACTTTTAGAAATGTTTAGAAACACGGGGGAGTCATTGTGACGATGTTTAACTTAAACACTGTCATAATAACTCCCCCGTGTCTCATTGAGAGATTGCCCCCCCCCCATCACACTCTTAATTTCTCCTCCTATAAGAGCCTACCACTGTGTTTTGACACACAACGAGATGAACCCCTTGAACGTAAAATTATCCACCCCAGTGATTAACCGCTTTCTACCCTACACTGTATATTATGAAGTTAATTTTGCTTATTAAGTTTTATTCCAAATGATTAAAAATAACTATTATTGTGAACCACTTTATGCAATCATGGGCCTACTTTCTCATCTGTTATCAACCTTCATACTGGTATAACATGGTAATAAAAGCGTTGCAGAAGTTAGGTTGATTACTAAAAAAAAAAGGGGGGGGGGGCTTTGCAATAATACGCTCTGAATGTTTGAGTTATACTTTGTATGTTCGTTAAGAGAGGATGTATCAATAACTAGTACAAACAAGCACAAAAAAAATGAGAGCCTCACGCCACGACTCATCGGCATGTCATACCAATGCACACTGACGTCATGAAGGCAGTGCTTGTACTTGAACACATGCACGACACTGCCCACGCACAGCGCCACCACCCGTGTGGCCTGAATAGTATTATTATCCTAAATAATGCATTTAATTGCAAGGTATCATTTATCGCAATTACTATCCCGCCCAGCGCCACGCTTGCACCTGTTTCATTTCTTCGCCTTTAATTTACTTAGTCTAATTCATCTCGATGGCATTAAATGTCACCGCAAATTCGAAGCAATTAAACAATTAAAATGTCTGTATCAGTATAAAGTCTTTTCTGTTTAATGTCATCTCATGTTGAGTAATTGAGAGTATTTCGAACATACGCCTGTCAACAGTAGTATATAACATATTCTCATAATAATAAGGGAGTTTACAGATAGCACATGGTACAAATGACCCCAAATATCCACAGATCTTTTACACATGGAGAAGTTCCACTTTGAGCATATTAGAATAATAACTGCCAAAGTCCTAGATGTGCTTCATGAATAACTTTTGTTTGCCCTCTTGAAAAGAATACTTCCACCTGCGTATCATAGAATGTACCGTTGGTGCATAAATGTATAATGTTCCATAACTTTCATGAGCGCATATCCAGTATTCATCTCTGTGGGTTTTACCTTTTTGGTACAAATGACCTTTATCTGCCCATGCGCAGATTGTATCTGTAAACTCCCTTATAGGGTAACATCTATTTGAACAAAATCAAAGAATAATAAAAATAAAGGTAACAAAGGAAGATATATATATATTTGTAATATATTTATATATAGAGAGAGAGAGACAGAGAGAGACAGATATTTCACATTTAATCAGATTGGACTGAGTGATAGTGATAATGACGCATGTTTTTACAGAGCCTTCCTCCCAGTCATGTTCATAAATCAACTGATTTCATATGATTTAAATAGGTCTCTTCCACATATTTTATAATTATGCCTACGTTTATAGTACGCTTAGCAACCCATGACGGCCCAAAATACGGAAAGCATTAAAAAAAGGTGTTCTACCCCCGGGTTGAGAGTGGCAAGTAGATTAATTTGGACTTTAAAGCGTCCGCATGGACTAAAAAAAAAATGATTTGGGTGGACGTATTCTTTAGACCATATATAATTCTGTGATAATTTGTATTTGTGTTTTCTTCGAAAGACGGCAAATATTTGCTCTCTTGAAAGTGTAGCTTCGTACTCTTAAACTTTTTGCATCAGTACAAATTGTAATACTGGACCATTTCTCTAGTGTATACACTAAAAGTGGTTTCCCGTGAATAATTTTGTTTCGATTGATTTATCAATTCCAGATGGATTAGCTCAGCTCTACTCAACGGCCAACCCGACAGCCGCTGCCTACTACCACACCCACCACCATCAACCCCGTCATCATCCATCATCATTATCACCTAGCAACCATCATCCTCATTACAGCCATCATCCGTCCCATCTCTACCCTCATCACGGATCACATCCCTCTCTCGGCGTACCCATACCAGTACCCGTCTATCTCAGGGGCAAGTCACCGGCGGTGTCGCCTGCAGAGGCGGCCAGGGCAGCAAAGAAATGCAGACGGAGTCGGACAGTCTTCACAGAACTTCAACTGCTAGGGCTGGAGAAAAGGTATATGAGACTTTCAAATTGCGTATCCTCTATAAAATATATAAGCAGAAGAACAGAAATCGTCGAATACACATGGACTTATTTGATAAAACCGGATGCCATGAAAGAATAAAAGTAATTGAATTGAATGTTAAGGTAAATAAACAAAGTATCAACAAATGAAATAAACCTGAAATTACGCATAAATAAGTAAGTAAATAAACAAATAAAAAATACTTGCATACATACATACAAATGCAATAGTGGTAAAAGTAGCTTAATGGGATAGTTGAGTTCTGTTTTCAGACAGCAAATGCCTTCAAAGTGCATGGTTATTGCTCTTATTTTATATATGACATTTCTAGTGCCCTTTTAGGACCTAAAATTGCTATGAAGGTTATTTTAGACCCGCCAAAATGTGTCAAATTTAGCCAATACGATCATACCAATTCAGTTCTACTTTTAAAAAAATACGGTGACCGTTAATTAATTAATAATAACAATACATTGGCCGGCTGGTTGTGCGTACTAAGAACCAACACGAAAGAGCCAACAACAAAAAAGCCAAATCGGCATTGGCTGAAATACAACGTAAAAGGGGCCATTTCGTTTTTTCAACGGCTCTTTCAAATAATCGAATATTTGTGGTGGTACACAAATATTATAAATCGTTATATTTATGGATATTCAGCCGTCTCTGAACCGATTTTGATCAAACAAAGATGATTTTGTCATTTAAATTGTATGTTCTTTCAAATTTGACACTCAGTTTTTCATTATTGTACACAAAAAATATTTTGTGTAGCGCCCTCTGCAACAGAACTCAACTATCACTTTAATATTGCTCAACCCGAAGTCAAAGTCAATAACAGAATAATAACACAAAAGCAACAACAAACGAAACCGAAGCCCGTATCCAATATAGAAACAGTAATCAATGACAATTATATTAATTGTGGTCTTTTAAATTGCATATTCGTTCTGTTGCCACTGATGTTTTTTTCATGCATTTCTACACCTCTTTTCTACTCATCTCTATATCTTGTGTTTTCTATTCCATAGGTTTGAGAAGCAGAAGTATCTCTCTACCCCTGATCGGTTAGATCTTGCAGAGACCCTAGGGTTAAGTCAACTACAGGTCAAGACTTGGTATCAAAACAGAAGAATGAAATGGAAGAAACAGGTCAGTTTAAAATAATCTTAAAAATAAAAAAAACGCTTCTATATTTAGTTGGTCCTACTATTGGTAGAACTATGAAGCCTTATCAGAATTAGCGCTTTTTAATACAAATTTTTTTCACGAAGTGACGGTAGTGAACAAAAATTGCATTCACTTTGCGTGACGATTTTCCTCACTACCGTCACTTCGTGAAAACAAGGACGAAATGACCCCCAATATCTACATATCTTTTTAACATGGAGAAGACAGTTTTAGAATAATCACTGACAAAGTGATGAAGGTGTTTCATGACTACCTTTGTTTGCCCTCTTGAAAAGAATATTTCCACCTATGTATCACGATAATACAATATTCCGATGGTTATGATTACATGAACGCGTATCAAGTCTCGATGGGTTTTACAAGTTTGTACTAATGACCTTTATCTGCCCATGCGCAGATTGCATATCCGACGTGGTTTATTTAATTTTGATCCTTTTTCATAAATATCGTATGGTATTTGTCAAGTTTAAGGTACGTGTCAGTAAAACGTAAATATATTAAAGAAGGAAATTAAGAAATAAATATTCTTGACATACCTTGATAGAAATGAATCAGGAAAGCTAGCAATCAGTATATTCACAGTAGGATCTGTATTTATATGCCTATATTTGATCAACATGAATGATTATGGTAGCCAAATAAAATTCCCAGAACCTTCGCAAACTTCCATGTTGTGCATCAGATTAGGGGTTACAGTGGTTACATTTTTCTTTCTCTCTACTTGACCTTTAGGTGATGCAAAGTGGTCGACAGGAGCCCCCAACCAAACCCAAGGGGCGACCCAAAAAAAGTGACATCACAGGAGAGAATGGCACCCTTTCTCCGGCCTGTTCCCCAGGCATTGACCATGAAGAGTTATCCAACATATCAGATGAGGAAGAGATAACAGTCTCTGATGCTATGAGTTCATACGTCAGCCAACAAAATTCGACCTCAACGCATGAACCTTTAACCTCATTTGCATATGCAACGTCATCGTCTTCCTTTCAACCCTCAGCTTTGACTACATAGAATGAGAATCACACCTTTAAATGTACAATGGCCCTTTAAAGACTTTCTAACTTAATATGTATAATTATGCAAGTAATAATGTTGCAATTGACCCAAGTAAAGATAGATACCGTATGATTTAAGTCCTATACATGTAGGAAATATGTATGTCTTTTAAATTTGATAGTGCAGCCGTAGATCCCTGATTCTGTGACCGGAGAGTGGAAGGGGGGGGGGGTAATGTCCTTGGTCAGATAGCATCTTGTCAATCAAAGTAATGATGATAGTGAACAAATGGCAAAGGGAGCGCTATATATCGAGTAGAGGCGAGTATATATATATATATCTTTTTCTTTCGAGGGGCGAGTTCCATTCGCCCTCCTCTCTACCCTGAGATCCGCCACTGGTATGAACTTTGTTGAAATACGACAACAAATTCCCGTATTTAATGACATAAAATGCCATGTTTCAAAGTAAATCAATGTATGTGGTAAGATTATTATCTGCAATGCAGATTTGAATAATAATTATCGATGGAATAATATCTCCCCGTCGATAGTAATTTGCTAACTTTATCTTTTCATACCACTGGTACTGTAAAAAAAAAAAATGCACCCGTAAGGTACGCAATATCAAAAGAAGCTGGATTCTGAAGGATACATGTAATAATAATAATGTTAAAACTGTACTTTTATACAGTATAGTACTGAAGAATTTCTATGCGATTCACATTGTGGTACTAAAGAGAGTTAATTATTATCCTGTAAAAGAATCATTAGATTTATAAAGTAAAGAGAAATTTAAAGGCCCAATAGAAACGAAAACAAATCTATGGTGGTACAAATTGTATGTCTGTTTTGATATGTCAGTAACATAGACACAATAATTATTACTTTTGACTCTTAAGTTTCAACTGCCTTTAAATGTCTGTTTCTTCATGAATTATACGGTCGTATGGTTATTCTGACCAATCATAACATCATTATCAAGTACTAATTATATCAATGTTTTTAGCCTCATGACGAGGAGTCGATGTGCCTTATACACGTTGTCATTATGCTGATTATTACGAATAAGAAACTATCGCTTCCAGTGACTTCATGACTCGTCTTCCTTGATTTAGCTTAGGAGTATCTCAACAGGTTTGTTATTACATTTTAAAAAAGATACATGGTTCTAGGTTATTTTTTTGAATGATGAACCCCTTTTTTCTCGGAATTACGACCTAGTTATAATTTCCGGAATTATGAATGCTATTTCATTTTTGAAAATACGAACCTTTTATACATACATACATATTGATATTGATATTTATCTTTAGCGTTCCCTATGACTATGTCTGAACAGGAAAGGTTTATATATTCCGTTGTTGTTCACCAAATCAATGTAAATTATTATACTTAGTTGTCTTCGTTTTCTTTGTATATATTTGTAATAAAGACATTTCGAAAAAACAAAGATGTTGCTGTGATATTGTAGTGGTGTATTCACGATCGGTAAACAAAGCATAATAGAGATGTATTAAAGCAGAAGATGCTCTTTAATTTTTTCTTTTCTCACTGAGCCTCCAAGGTAGGCAAGGGAAGGGTCCATGTTTGTGCGAGCTTGAAATAAATCCATTTAAGTGGGTGTGTTTTAAAACGTGTGTTGAAAAACTGTTTTACCCCTAAAATCGCTGAATAATATTGATGCAGCTTTGCGGAGGAAGGTAAAACATCTTTTAAAGCTAAAGAAAGAGTGTAACATTTATAGTTATGATGACATAATGAACAAAGGAGATAGATACACCTATGAAATATTTGGAACATGGGAAAGAGAGATAGACATATATAATATATATATATATAATTATATAGAGAGAGAGAGAGAGAGAGAGAGAGGAGGGAGAGAGAGAGAGAGAGAGAGAGAGAGAGAGAGAGAGAGAGGGTGTATATAACATGAATAAATGATGAGAAAAGAAAGGTTCCGGCCTACTGTTTTATTGAGTAAATAAAATGAACAGATTATTTTGAAGGTTAGTCTGTGTATTTGCAACATAAATAAGCTGAAATTGTAATAAAATTAGAAAACGTCACCAAAATCATACTTTCACATTTGACCCCGACTTTATTGTCTCGACATTTTTTGCATCCCTCCTACTTGCAGGAAATGTTATAATTTCTTGTTCAATCTTCCAAACAGCGCTGCAAGACTTCCTCCCATTAACACGTCCCAGTATGGGTGAACGGCATGCCCGGTACGATAACTATTGGTGTCCCGCTTACAGCACTTTCTACCTAAAAAAACACGAAGAAGGGAGAACAATTTTGAAGCACAAATTGGACAAAGTTAAAGAACGCGACATTAAACCGCCCATGCTAGGCAGCTAGGCGGGCAAGTGCTATACCCCCTGGGCTGGCCAAAATGTGAAGACTTCCAATCGACTCTGGAAGACCCCCTACGTAAACTGTTTATAGAATGAAGATGATACGTTTCGAAAGGACTTATTTCCAGGTTTGTTCTTTTCGTAAAATTAGTTTCTTGAAAAGCATTATTGATCGAGGTAGGGGATTAAGGGGGCTATCTCCCACCGAAAATTGCTAATTTATCAGTATTCTGACAACCGTCAGCTAGGGCAGTTGAGACATGAGGAGGAAACGAAGTGTGCCTTTGGTATTTTTTGTAAATTATCTAGTATATTTCAACGGCCAAGTAATATTTCACCATATTAGGTGTCATAGTTTTTGCTAGCAAAGTTTATAAACTTGAAAGCTAATATTTATATAATAGATGACAACCCTCAGTGAAATGGTGCCTGTTTTCAGCTAGAAATGAAAAGGAAGAACACAAGACTTGAGTTTTATCCTTTCATTGCTCTTTCTTTTTTCCTACCTAAGCCTCAATAAGTTGTATTTAGTGTTTGTTTTGTAATCATACCTTAACAGTCCTACTCATAAGAGTGAGTTGTGGTATGGTGCTCATGTATGTTGCTCTCGATACCACGAGGTTCCTGGTTGAGCTCAGTCAATTTGCACCAAACAAATTATACAAACATACACTATCAACGATATATGATTGAGTATTGGCCCTAGTAGGGCAGTATATAATAATGATATTATTACATTTACAAAGCGCCTTTTCATTAAATACACAGCACAAAAACAAGTAATACTTACAAACAAACAAATATAGAGAGTTAACATTATCATACAAAGCTTACATTAAATACAGAGTGGAATATTACAACAAATTAGAAAAGAGCTGATTATAGGGCACTACATGTTTTATATATTGCAAATATGTGTAAAGCTTGTTCAATAGGGAAAACATGAAATCAGGGGAATTCAAACAAACACGCAACGTGTTGTTTCAGCATCTTCTCAAAATGCAACGAAATAAAACAAGCGACCTTTTGCAACTTTCTCGATGCTCCTGAATAAATCTACTTTCCACAATGAGACTTTAAAAAAGAGTTAAAATGTCAAAACAGTTTGTTTGGACAATAAAAGTGGGGATAATATGACAAGAAAATTGGAATTTAACTCAGAGCCTCAAGCAACAGCTGCACACATCACATCGCATATACCACGAAGAGACACAGCAATCATCAATTTAGAGCTCAACCCAACAAGGCGGGGTGGAACAACCATTATTTGTCGCTTATCACATTATTCATATACACTTATGAAACGGATGTAAAATAAGAAGGGTTTGTCTCAGAGGCGGACGTGTTTAGATCCAATAAGTATCGTCGTTATTGTCACATTAAGAAAAAGAAATATAATATTGCTATGGAAATTCAAGTACTGCTTGCATTTTTAACATTGTTTAATGGCAGACATAAACTAAATATCACAGGGGCCTTAATGATTTCATATTTTATATCACCCTCTAGGTTAGAACAATCTTTGGTTTATTGTAAAGTGTCAGCCCCCCCCCCCCTCTCTCTCTCTCTCTCTCTCTCTCTCTCTCTCTCCCTCTCGCCCTCCTCGCTCTCTCTCTCTCCTTCTCGTTCTCTGTCTCTCACTCTGTCTCTTTCTTTCCCTCTCCCAACATCTATATCTCTTCTCCTCTCTCTCAGTGTCTCTTCTCCTGACACACTTCCCTTCTCTCCCAATCTCATTCCGTCGTCATCTCTCCTAATCGTCTTCTCTTTCACTCCTCTTTCTGTAGTTCAGATATCTTCCTCTCTTCTCTTAAGGCACCTGCCCTCTCTCTTTAATCCATCTTGTTCGACATGAGACTTAAGGGTAAGTGGAAGCAATTAGTTTTAGGGATGGAACCTGTCGCGGACGAGGCTGAGATGGCTGCCCCCTGTGGCGAAGGGCATTCATAGAATTCCGCCATTTTGTTTCGTCTTTCTCTTGTTAAGATCAGCACGGCAGGAAATTGAAAGAAAATCCTTATTTTAGGTGTGCGGGATTTATTTTGTAGGCACAGTCCCTTGGTAGTCATAGTACGTAACAGTGTCTGCAAAATGAGACTCAGTAGATTCTGTACTTAAATAGAAGGTTGAGTTCTGAGAAGAGGTGAAAAATAATTTGTGAGCGTTATCATTGTATTATGCAAGTGTGGAAGAACATTAGATTTAAAACAATCCATACAAAGAGTGGTTCTTCAAATGCCTCAATATTTTAAATATGGCATGTAACATCATACAAATCGGGACGGATCTCTATTCCCCATGTTCGTGTAGTCCCATATACATCTTTCTGTGTACAGTGCTTGTAACTTTACCAAGACTGGGCAAAATTTCGTATCCTTTGGATGTTTCCAGAACCTTGCAGTACACATCAATACTTAATATGCTAGAAGATCAACCTTTTCTGATCGATTCCACAATTTCTCTTTCACAATTCAATCGCATGACCAGAATTCAACTTCATCTTTCAGCTGCTCAGGACTTGTTTGGCACAGCCGTAAACTCGCAGATTGAGACTCTGCTCTTGTCTTTGTCTATTTGTGGATAAGTGTCAAATTAGAGTCTCTGCTGGCAGAAATGGACTAGTCGGGTCTAGGGCACCCGTGTGCGTGTATGTGTGTGTGCGTGTGTGTGTGTGCGTGCGTGCGTGCGTAGTGTGCGCGCGCGCGCGTGTGTGTGTGAGTGTGTGTGTGCCTGTGTGCGTGTGTGTGTTTGTGTGGGTGTGTAATGGGTTTTTTTTTTTTTTACAGAAGTGTATCAATTAGATACGATTATTGACGTCTGGGGACCGACCTTGAACGTCACCATCCGAAAGACGTGACAAAGTTTCAAACCTGGATCCGTCTGTGCCAGTTTGTAGGCGAAGACAGAGACCTGATCAAGTTTACGTACCGCTAGCCCAACTCCATAGGATGTACTTTAGCTACCGTCCAGGCTTTATGGAATTGTGTTTAAGTCTGCGCCTCCATACAGATAATCATTATCATGTAGCTATTGTTATTTAAAAAATCATTACAAATTGTGAAAGTACATTAAAGCCTCTCTAAATTGTTGGGCGCCCAATAAGTTTGATGGCAAAAATTTACTTCAATTGTATAATGATATATCTCTGGTGCTTTCTAGCAACAGTTCAAAGCATGCAACATCCGATCATCAGTGTACTGCGAGTTCAGATTCAGATTTCGTGAGTTACCATTTTCAAATGATCATTTATCAGCGGTGAAGTTATCATTTGGTACATTTTTCTGTTCATGAAATTCATGTAACATTACACATTTCTAATATACATTGGACCTTATAGAGTACAGAAAACAAGATGAAAATTTATTTAAGTTGATGTTAAGGGGGAATCTTTATTCACATAAAGTCATGTTCACAATCTATGTATTTTTGAGCGTCGATTGAAAATGTTATCCCTAATTCCATCTATCACACAGGATAGGCAACATGTAGTCAGTACATTCTAAAAGTCCACCTATCTAAAGACATACTACAACCCCTACACTGCCCCCTGCCCCCCCCCCTAACCAAGCTTTCACAGCACCCTCCACGCCAGAGAGGTCACATATTGCGGTGTTAGATTAGGTTTTATGTAAAATAGACTTAACAGTATAACACGAGACACAAAAAACGACCCCACAATAAAATTGTCAAAAACATGATGCTTTAACATCTTCGTAATGATTCAGATGTTCTTAATTTGCTTTTATCCAGTGTAGGGTGACTTATGGAAATACTACTGATAACTCCAACATCTAAACACTTGACAGACTCATTGTATGAAGGAAATTACCCGATTGATTGTACAAAGGATGTAAGTAAAACATTTGGATTTAAGATACGGCAAGTAGATTGATTTCGATCATGACAGTCCGGTTTGGTTAACTACAGTATGTAGCAGAACGCCATTTTCCCACGCATGCTGATGGTCTATTTTTTGCCGCCAAAGGCACCTGAAATGACGAAAGGAAAATAAAGAAAATGTTAATTACATGGGACGGGGAAAGGGCACATGGAGAAAAATATTAAATGGACGAAGATAACGTTATATTATCCACAGCATCAACAACAACAACAACAGCAAAACAACAAAACAACAAACACTACTACTACTACTACTACTACTACTACTAATACTACTACTAATATTACTACTACTACTACTACTACTACTACTACTTCTTCTACTACTACTACTAATACTACTACTAATATTACTACTACTACTACTACTACTACTACTACTACTACCACTATTACTACTACTACTACTACCACTACTACTACTTCTAGTACTACTACTATTACTACTACTACTACTACCACTACTACTACTTCTAGTACTACTACACTGACTACTACTACTGCTACCATGACAACTACTAGTACTTTTACTTTTCATGCATGACACGTTATATTACGCCTGTCTCATTTTTCTTCTTCTATGACTAGACTAAATTTTTACCGTCTCACAATATTATCCCCCGGAAATAATCTTCGATTTCTTTTGTTAATTGTCCTACTTCACCATTTGGGAACTGTATCCGCGTAGTTATTCCGGTGATGGTAGTTCTTGTTGAGATGTTTCTTTCGAAGCCCTCTCCCACCCCCCCCCCCCCCCCTCTCCCTCAGAAAAGGAAGTTTCAGTGAGCCCGGATTGTAGACGATGGTTGAGGAAAGTGCGAGTGTCTTACCGAAGCACTGAAAGATTTTCCCGGATCGTCTGTGGCACCAGCATTCTTGATGAGATCCCTGCACTGGAGCACAACCTGAAGGGTCAAAGGTCAAAGGAAATGGTAATCATCATTTTAATAACGATCATATAAGATAGGAATAATAATAGCAATGGTAAATTAGTTGTCGCGGTAGTGGCGGTAAAACTACCACTTCTAATACTGACAATGACAACAATACACCAGTTTACAGTTGTGTGCGCCATTTTAAACAAAGCTAATGACCTAGGAGTCATGTATTTATGCGTAAATTAAGATTGCGCCCATGCAAATAATGATGACATCACTGCCTGCGCGCTGCGTTGTGCGCGCACATCATCATTTGCATGGGCGCAATTTTAATTTACGCATAAATACCAGAGGTCAGAGGTTATTGGCCCCAATTTTGGGGCCAATGACCCGAGGTCAACTGTCTGCGCATGTGCACTGATACAACTGTAAACTGGTGTATAAACACAATACATGTAATAATAACAATATTGATAATAATCATAATAATGATAATGATAACAATAATAATTGTAATAATGATGATAACAATAATAATATTAGCAATAATAATGATAAGGATACGTTGTTGAAAATAATCATTTATTAGATCTGTCTGTGAGTAAAATATACCCGCTTGCTACTTTTAAATTATGAAAGCGATAAAGAAAAATAAATGAATATATTAAAGAATACTATTTGAGCTTCAGCAATTTAAATTCATATTCTATTTGACATTTTAAATGGAGCGTTTAATCTCATCATGACAAGGCTCGTAAATAAATGTCTATATGCTTTGGAAAAAAAAGGTTGATTGCCTATAAGGCTTAAACCTAGTGATACGCAAGAGTAGATAGTGTGGATTACTCTGCAATCTTTTAACGACCTTCTCAAGGAAACGATGCGTAAAATGACTTCCCCATATATTCCCCAATTATCTTTTCTGCTTCGCTATGTTTTTTGTTGTTGTACTACTACTACTGCTACTACTTCATTGGGAAACGAACATATGAATTATGATTCTCGATGCGAAATTATTTGGCATGCATGATAATAATAATAATATGTCTTGTTTACCCAGGGTAGCCTTATCAGTATTCATACTGTTCTCCCTGAGGGCCCTGCAATCATATTATTACCCCGGTCATCGGATTCAGGCTTACCCGCACACAATGTATGCACATTCTCCACTCCTTGGGGAGCATTCCAGCCAGTGCATCATTTTTACAAGCGCACACTTGCTAATCTAAGCACATTAGCTTTCGCATCCTACCGGGTACCCATTTAACACCTGGGTGGAGAGTGGCAAATGTAGATCAATGTCTTGCCAAAGGACATTAGTGCCGCGGTGGGACTTGAACCACGGACCTTGTGATCCACAGTCCGGTGACATATCCACTCGTCCACAACACCTCTACAAATATGATAGTGGTTCATTCACTTGACTGTCAATGCAAGGCTTTCGATTTGAAAACTCAGTCCGGTACAAACGTCCTATTCACCACTCTCCACCAGCGGTGTTAAATGGGTACCGGGTTGGATGAAGAAAAAAAGTCGTGAGCAGTTTGTTTAGCATTGTGTCAGTAAAATGGCGCGTCGCTGAAATGCTCCACTCGGAGTGGAGAATGTGAATACAATGTGTGCGGACAAGCCTGAATCGGATGGCCGGGGTAAAGCGCTCAGAGACTTCATCGATATATTAAGTGATATATAATACAGAACATTAAACTTTCAAAGTCATGATATTCGTTGAAACGTTATATAAGTGTTAAGTAGAGTGTAACACGTTTAATATGAATTCATCTGTACGTTAGTGAAAACGAACCACGTGATCATGATGGGGATAGGGTAATGCATTAATTCAGCAACATATCGCAGCCAAATGCTGAGTTGCATGCATAATTTACAAATATTTGATTGAAAATATCAAATTTCGTTCGTTATTTAACAATAATTCAAGATCATTAAAAAAAAAACATTTTACTGCATACAAAAATATGAACATGTGGAGATGAAAACAAATTAATGAATACCAGGCGAACGTAAAACGCAGAAACAAAGGGAATAAGAAGTAAAGGGAAAATGGGGAGCAGGAAAATAACGGGGAAAGGAAAGAATCGTTGAGGGATAGAGAATGGAGAGAGAAGGAGAGAGAGAGAGAGAGAGAGAGAGAGAAGGAGAGAGAGTGTGGAGAGAGAGAGAGAGGGGGAGAGAGAGAGAGAGTGAGAGAGAGAGAGAGAGATAGATAGATAATTTATGTGTATGAGAGAGAGAGAGAGCGAGAGAGAGAGAGAAAGAGAGAGAGAAACAGAGAGAGAGAGAGAGAGAGAAACAGAGAGAGAAACACGAACACAGAGCTGGTATTACATAACACAAATTCAAAATGTCATGATGACCAGAAGGAAATATAACATGAGGAAGTTTTAGATTTGTATTTATTAGAGATGAACAATGAAATGAACATGCAATTAACAGTTCTACGGTGAAATTAAAGTGACATGGGATTAATGTAATAAAAAAAACAATTTTACACACCTTCAAACCTATCCAACGACCACGGGGTTATCAATTGTTAGCAGATTTTACAACCCAAGCAACTTTGTATTCGATTTTATATCCTATATGTACATCTTAAGTACTGAATAACAATAACGTCCGACTTGCGTGTATTTATCTTGGAAGTTCGCTCAATATATGAACCTTGGGAAGTGTTCACCGCCAGCCCGATTCACAGCAATCAAATATCGGTGTCAAATTTAATTAACTTAACAGAGATCGATTGAACGCTCCTCTTGTTTTTTAATTTGATAAGGTCATGTATATTAGGTAATATCAGTTTCATCATGAGCATCGACAACATTGGAAAACAATTAAAAGAGTTGTCAATGTTTTGATACAAAATAGTGACTGTTGATCTCAACTTTCTATTTTTCTTCATTTATATATTTGTCGGATATTTTTTGATGATCTTCTGCTTCAAGCCAAGCAAAACATTCTCAAAGAAATACACCCTCCCTTTCAACAAGACATGGCTATCTTAAGCATCCATTGACATTGCCCTTGGTCTACATTATAATCGGGGGTGTGTCTGGACACTTAACAAACATATAGGCCCGAATTCACAAAGGAGGTTTGTCGACAAACCTTGGTTTTCGAGCGTAATATGACTCGTTTCGACGCGTTTTTACAAACCAGGTTTGTAAAAAACGCGTAAAAACGCGATTATGACGTACATAAACCTCGGTTTGTCGGCAAACCTCCTTTGTGAATTCGGGCCAAAGACTTCTCTTTTGCCTTCAGATTTAACGGAATATATTCATCAAATAGCAATGACCATTGTGGATATTTGTCACTTCTAGAATTGTTAAAATATTGCTTGTAAACTTCTTCATTTTGCTGTTTTGAAATCAACTGTCCAGACACACAACATCAAGCTATATGATCTAACTGTAATAGTTATCTTCCCCTCTATATCGCCATGTTCTCCATAGCAAGACAAAAAAGTGTTCTTATTAAATAAATGCATGTTTGAATACAACAATGTTGTAGGAATAACCAAACACGATGGAAATAGACATTAAATAGAGATGAATGTAAATCAGAAAGAAAAAAAACAATGCATGCATGCATGAAATGTCACAGAATGGTGGCGAGGTGATATGTTCATTATTTTGGCATACTTACCCACATACTTAGTATTGGCTTTCATTCTGTTTACTTCTCCTTGGGTTTGTGTCTGTGTCTGTTTCGATTTCTGTTTCGATTTCTGTTTCTGTTTCTGCTTCTGTTTCTGCTTCTGTTTCTTTTTCTTTTTGTCTTTTTTTTCTTCACCAATTAGTATGGAACAATAAATAGTTATATTAGATAGCTTAGACAGATACCGAGATGTGATTGGTCCAGAGCTCGTCACGTGATATCAATTTTTTTTGGATTTTTTTTTTTTTTCCCAAAAAAAATGCTTTTTTGGGTAAGATTTTTTTTTTCCAAATTTTTTTTAAAAAAATGTTAAGGTTTTTTTTTTTTTCTTGAACTATCTCGACAGATTATTTTTCCGTAATTTTTTTTGTCCCCGGAAAAAAAATTTGGGCAAAAAAAATATCACCCCCCCCCCCCCCAAAAAAAAAAAAAAACAACAACAAACAACCAAGGCTATCTAATATAACAGTTATTGAGTGGCAGGGGGTATATAACATTCTTTGGACCTCAAGGGAGTTATATTTTCCCTCGTGACCATATATAACCAATTGGGAAATATAACTTCATTCAGCGGTCCAAATAATGTTATATTACACCCCCTGCCAGTCAATAACTGTATAATATGCACCATTCATTATGCACAATGTATATAATATCTTAATATCCGCAATTTAAAAGGTCTGTATTTCAGTGAAGCCCTCAGTTTACACAGATTATAGATGAAGTTTCCTTTGTAATTTGTTTACCTTTTCTTTTTGTAAGGTAATAATACTTTTTATAAATGTTGTATTCATTAGTAATGTTATAATGATGTTATATTTTGTTTGAAATAAAAAATAAATAAATCAAAATCAAATCAAATCGAAATCATATACAAAGCACAAAAAGATAAGGTAAACATAACATTAAGAATGAAAATCATAAACATGTACGAGATAGTTTACTGAACACAACAATTTAGTAATTAAATAGATAAATGAAGATATAGATAATATATTTAAACACGTATATACATAGGCTATGTATAATATATATGTATATATATATATATATTTGTATATACGTAAATACATATTATGTGGTTTCGCATGGGCAGTAAGGTAATATATTATTCTTTTGGTTTTTAGTAATTTTATGGCATCTATAAGCCATGCCCTCGCTGTACCTGATGTAACTACGAACATGGCCAGATAAACAAAAGTAGGACCGGAAAGATTATCACATCAAAGGAATGTAGGGCGAGAAATTAAGAATTCAATATCACAAAAAACACAACAAAACAAAGCCAAAATATTTTATCCTACTGTTTGCAATGAACACATTTAATCAGCGATGTGTTTGTTGCATTGCCATTTTCGATTCATTGGCTTTTAGCATACCTTGCCGCCCACCCTCCCTCCCCCCCCCCCATTCCTTCCCTGTGTGGAATAGGCAAGATCTGTTCAAAACCAAATTGCATACACAGACCTTGCCGCCGCCCCCCCCCCCCCCTCCCGTTGTGGAATAGGCAAGGTATGTTCAAAACCAAATTGCATACACAGACCTTGCCGCCGCCCCGCCCCCCCCCCCCCTCCCGTTGTGGAATAGGCAAGATCTGTTCAAAACCAAATTGCATACACAGACCTTGCCGCCGCCCCCCCCCCCCCCTCCCGTTGTGGAATAGGCAAGGTCTGTTCAAAACCAAATTGCATACACAGACCTTGCCGCCGCCCCCCCCCCCCCTCCCATTGTGGAATAGGCAAGATCTGTTCCAAACCAAATTGCATACTTAATAACGCAATTGACTTACTTTTGTACTTTTTAGCAGCCTTATCTCTGTTGTTATCTCGCTTGATCGCCAGCATGGGATGAAGTTCATCAAGGAACTGGTCCATCTGGTAGCCGCCATCGAGTCCGTAGCCATCGCCGTCCGCGTACCCGTTGCCCTCATCGTCATACATGGCGCATGCAGTGCCGACCAGCATGACGACGAGGGTGATGACAAAGAGCTTTGAAGCCATGGTTGACAGACTTTAATAGGAAAAAAAGAAAGTTGAATTAATGAATCATCTCTGGATGGAGGACGTAATGTTTGTACCTCAAGCCCAAACCTTAGCCAGCAGTGGTTATAGAACTATATAATGTTTTTGTAGGGTGTTTGTGAGGGGGGTCTTGAGGAGGGGGGGGGGGGTTTAGGGGGGTTGGGGCGGGAACTCGTGGGCTGTGGCATTCATTTTTTTTTACCTATGCCTCGTGATTTTTTCGGGGGGGTTGGGCATGTAAAAATGGGGACGGGAGTAGAATTTTAACTGGCCGCATTAGGCAACACAATGAGATATGTGAAACCCATATTTGTATATTTACATTTGCAAGCAAATCCCATCCTAACACTCTGAACACGATTTTTGAGGAGGAAATCCAACAAGGGCGCATCTAGGATCTTATGAAGAGAGGGGTCATAAGTGCGAGCGATCACAACTCAGGGGACCATTTTTCCTTTAAATAGAGGTATGTCTCGTGGGTCTTAACGTGGCATAGGACTGTTGTTTTTCCTTAATTCGCCGATGCACTCCGGTATACACATTTGACGTGAACATATGACATTCATTCCCTTGGTGATGATTCTGCCGATGAGATATATACTATCACTGATCCTAAACATAATCCTTTAGCAATATTCAGTTTTCTGAGAAAATCTAAATTTTAATATTTATGTTACTTTGTCAATACGAATTTTTTAAATATGACAATGTGAAGATGTTAAAATATTAATAATTATGATGACAATCCCTTTTTGTTTAGCGCATAGCACATTATGATAGAACGTCCCTTATGCGCTTTCATACAGCTATTGACATCTTAACCATAGTTTTAGCTCCGGGAGCCGTTATCAGCGCACAGTGCATTTCAAGGAATAAGTCTCCCAGTTACCCGTTTCATCACCTGGGTGGAGTGTGACAAATGTAGATTAACGTCTTGCCAAAGGACGTTAGTGTTGTGGCAGGGATTCGAACCCCGTACCTTGTGGTTCACAGTCCGGTGACTTATCCACTAGAGTATAATACCTCTACTTATAAGTATATTATGTTCTCCCATTTTTCTTCTATCCATCCCCTCTGTCCCTTTCTCTTTCTCTTTCTCTCTCTCTCTCTCTCTCTCCCTCTCTCTCTCTCTCTCTCGCTCTCTCTGTCTTTGCCTCTTAATTTTATTACAGACTCAACAGTCATACAAAAATGACATCAAGAAGAATAAAAAAAGAAGATTATAAAAAATTGGGGATTCGCAAGGCAGGAGGAAGGCTTTGACGCCCTATAGTCTGATGTGTAACCACGTGTAACATAGACAACTTTTATTAACATTTCGATACGTCAAGCAAAACATCCGATTCGGATAAATGAAGCGAGCTGTAGGGCCAGACAGCGTTACGTGAAATATTTGAAATACATTTGAAATATTATTGGCTATATAAATCGGTCCGATTCGGATAAATGAAGCGAGCTGTAGGGCCAGACAGCGTTACGTGGGTAAACCCATTTGAGACAGCGATGGGGGAGGGGACACACCTAAGTAATATAAGAAATATAAGGAATATGGGAATCTATTGGTGCGAGAGACTAAGGCTTAAAACAAGGGCAGGGTGTCGGAGGGGTCAGTTATATCATGTTTTTGTACGTCCTTTTTTCTCGTTGTCAAAGCGCAAAGAAATCACCTCGAGCGCAATTCCAATACCTCATAGTCATGATTGTATATCTCAAAGAAATCATGTTCGTTATGTGCCCTGTCATACACTTTTTAATTTTACGTAATTATGTCATTGTTATTTTTACTCGATTCCAAATATCATGGACAAAGCTATTGTAATTACCTTTAAAGGCATCGTTTAACAATGTTAAATCTGAGATGCATGGCCCTACGTGTTGTCAGTGTCTCTGTGATATGGTGTAATATTGAAGCCTTAAACAAATTGAGCTTCAAAATTATCATAAAGTACCTTAAAAAAAGGAAAAATCCTTGAGTGACCGGTCTTACCATACTCATATCCTCAATAGACTTTAGTGTAATAAAAACCGTAAGGAAAACGAAAAATCAAATTTCGATTTCCAATCATAAATGTCTTAATAATCAGACAGGCGATCGACATGTAAAAGTCAAGGAATTCCTGACCGATCTAATGGTTTATCAATATGATTGAAGCATGAGCTAAATCCAGGATTCTTGTTCAGAATCTGAGGCAATCTTTTGAAAGTATTGGTAATCGAGTTCGGGGGGGTTGCACAAGGGTTGTTCTTGGCGTTGATAATTGGTAGGACATGTGGTGCCAATAATTTAACTCGATTTAGTCTACTACCCTTGTCAATCTTCGCTTTCTCACTAAGACAGCTTCTCATCCGTGACTTCGTTTCATTTGATACGGGCGGCGGCGAAGGTGTGTCGCCAACAACCATAATAAACCAAACCAAACTTGTGTAACAGGCGTTCTCGATTATAGTCCTTCCCGTGGAAATACAGGCATGAAATTTGATTTTATAATATGCATCATAGGATTTCTGGGAGTATTTCAGAATATCTTGTGATCAAACCTATTTACATAGTTCATTCTTTTCGAATTATGTTATTACTTCAATTTCGATAATGAATCTTAATCGTTCTACACAACTAAATTATCCATACCCTTACAAAGTGTTGTATTTTTTAAAAGAATGTCCTGAAAATGCCAAAGTTATTTTCCACATTTATGTTTCTCAAGAATGTGAGATATTAAAGCTTGCATCTAAAACTATTCAACGAATCAACCACGTACTCCATCTTTCATTCTTGAATTACGAAAAACACACACCCAAACATTAACATGGGGAATGAGTATTTAGTTGTTAACTATATATAAGACTGACCCCCTTAAAGAAAAAAAGGTATCAAAAAGAGAACAAAAAATCTACTTTCACATCTTGAAGTTTTGCCATACTCATTTTATCTTTAATATCGCTTAGTTTGTTATAATTCCGGTTAGTTTAGACGGGTGGTGTTGAAGGTGTGTCACCAACAACCATAGCAAACTACATGAAACTTGTATAACAGGCAGTAACAGACATTCATGATTATTTTCCTTCACGTAGAAACACAGAATTGAAATTGATTAAAAAAAGATATTCAATCTTCCCTGATTTATTTTAGACATCATTATGAACCTACATATCTATACAGTTCATGGAATTAATAGAATATGGTTCATAGTGGTTCAAAATGTTAACCATTTAAAGCCACCATTCAATCTCTTTTTAACACGTCGTCAGATAATACATTTCATTAAAACTACCCATCACTCCACTGAAAAATAAGCACTAATTATCATTTCTTGACATTTATTTTGCGGTTGCATGAGAAAAACAAAGAAATTACAGTCTTTTAAACATTAGTTAACATAATGTTCCTGTTTCCTAGTCTAACAATGTACAATAGTCATCATGATGTATCTTAGTAACGAATTAATTTAAAGAGAAACACCTGTTTTCATGAATTTCTGGCAGAGATTGATATCATAATTGTTCAGGAGACAAAGAGGTACTCTCAACAGATACAAATTATTTGTCACACTGGGTGCTCGAGCTAATATTCTACGACAAGCAATGAATGAAGATTTACGAATGTATTAATAAGATAAGTGTAACGTATTTAACCCTTCCTTTGTCGCAAACATCACAATTAGCAATGTGCACGGTTGCTCGTTTGCTACGCGTACCAATTGGCACAAAACAATGCATCACTTAATAGAAGGAATGCTCCGTGCAACACGAAACCTGTGCACAATTACCATTTTCCGGACTTGATTAGCTACGTAACGACCCTCTTATCACACACACACACACACCCACACACACGCATATCTAATATAACAATTATTCAATTTGGATAATCCTCCGTCACGGTAATAAACAAATGATGATTTAAACAATTGAAATCGAAATCTGTAACAGTTTACTTCTTCACTATGACCGGTTTTAATTTTATTTCTTGAGAAGAAACCGGACATTTTATATCAGTTTTCTGAACCATTAGTTATATAATCTTTTCTTTTTTTTTACACTGGGAAGATTTTTAATAATCTTGGGTCCCTTGGTTTAACTATCCAATAGGTTATACAGGAGGTGCTATTTGGAACAGGAAAGTGGTAAAGAAAGAGTTAACAAAGACAATCTTCCATGAATGCTTACTTATCAGAATAGAAATACCCGAAGAAATGTGTAAAAGATGGAACTTGTACTCACGAGTTTTGGTTGACAACAGTTCTTAGCAGAAAAGAGGGCTCCTTCTTAGACGACTTCAAAATAGCCTTTGGATGATCCCCCGATGAGTGAAGTTTTATATAGCCGTCCAGTAGAGCAGTGAATCCTTTAGTGTATCATCGAAACCAACCTGACTTCATACTTGACCGACTTACATATTCATGAATTAGCTGCATAACAGATGAGCGAGATATCATTATTTTCTTATGATTTAGGGGCGTGTCTTTCTCAATGAAACCGTGTGGCACGATGAAATTTGTTGGAGGTGTATAGTATCGATTCTAAACTCATATCGCGATCACCACTTCTGAACCTTTCACACCTTCGTGTCAGAGTGTTATATCTGAAATAGAGGACGCTTAGAGATTGTTTATACAAAACTTGGATATTGATGTGAAAAGGAGGGCAGGATTAAAGATGAGAAAACAGTTCTCATTGTAGTCTTTGATTGATTCTCAAGTTCAATATTGATTTTTAAAAAAAATGTTTTTCTTTCTTTCTATCTCTTATCTTCCCAAGTACTTATTAGTGTTCTAACAATTTATCAATCTCAGAATTGTTTCAGCAGCAAAACGAATGTCCTCAGTTTTTGACATAATTTAGAATGTATAAGTCTATTTAAATTAACCGAAGATTGTACACCTCCTATACACTTATCAATTCCATTAAGTGCAAAATTACTCTGCTGTTCCACTTCAAATAATTGAAATCCAGTAATGCATGTTGGAATAATAATAATAATAATACAGACATTTATAACGCTCAACATATCCACACAGATGGTGCTCAAGGCGCCTACAATGAGCTACATAATATACTTAGATACAATTTTGCTTACATTACATTATACATGGTTAAAGATGATATTAGTTAAAGTTGGCTATTAGATAAGTTTTCAGGCTGGCCTTAAAACTATCTACTGATTTTTAAATCACTTACTTTAAGAGAGATATATTCAAAGACTCAGACACAAAATATCAAATACTTATTCCACACGCCCAAAATCGCATCGTGCCATTGTTGTACATCTTTTATCAATATTTTCTGAAGTTTTCCATGACATTGTCATGTTTCCCGGTTTATACATTCTCTATTATGTTAAAGGAAGGCAGAGGTAGTTCAATATTGATTTCAAAGTTCCAATGATCGACTGAAACTCATCGAAGGTTAGTTATAATCATCTTCAAATCAATAAAAAGTGTCAAGGTGTATTCATATCTATTACTCCGTGGCAAGAGGTATATTGTGATAGCAGGCAGCTGTTCAAATGTACGGTGTTATGACATTGACAGTGTTGTAATAGATATCAAGATGGTGTACTTGAAATTAATATTCAATTCGAGGAATTGCCTATTTCGGCCCTCAGAAGTCAATACGTTTGATTTAAGTCATTGAATATTAAAGGTGTCACATGTTTTACCAGGGCTTACTTAGAACCATCGGATCATCGCGTCGGGTCAAGAGGTCTCGTCCCCGAACTTTTGTGAAAACAATCTCTTTGATTCACAAAATGTCGGGGGTAATGTTTGTGAAATAAACCCTATATAAACATTTACAATGGTCTCGTCCAATTCAGCCGACTCTTTGTGAAATCTCTACGGCGAATCTACGAAAGGTCGCATGATCTTCCGTTTTCGGTTACCGAAAGGTCCGTGTAACGCGACCACCAGACCAGACGTGATGACTTGATTATGCGAAGTAAGCCTTGTACCAGTAGACCACTTAGCTGTTGTAAACATTCTGCACGCAGCAAATATGTTTTATATGACCAATACTTTGCAATAATAATTTTTTGTGAACATTTAAGAAGAAAAAATACCCCCTATTTTCCATTCAATTAGTTATTTGATGGTTAAAAAATCAATATAACGAAAGTATGATCAACTAACATTATGTTGAACACAATCACCTTTTTGATATCATTTTATTAACAAACAATTTTCAAATAAGAGGTACAAAAGATAGTATATATATCAGAGACAGTATGTGTTGTTATTATCCCAACCGTGTAAATGAGACCATACGTATGAAATGTATAAACTAAGTTAAAAGTGATTCAATTTTCATTAAGCAAGTCACCTTGTGATATTTTTTCTTCAATATGATCACAGGGCCCCCAGGGAGAACAGTATGAACACCGTTGAGGCCACCCAGGGTAAACAGAACTGTTAATTATTATTGTTGTTATTATCATTATTATCATTATTATTAATATTATCATTATTACTATTAATAATTATTGTGTTTGCAGGTCAAAAATGGTAATTACCAAGGAAAGAAAAAAGAGAAGCAAAATGAACTTGAGGGAGATGGAAGTCAGTCTTCACTTGCAGAAGGTCATAATTCACTGACACCAAACTTGGTGGAAATATGATATACAAATGATGTATGTAAGTATAAATATAAATACATGAATTCAGAATATGTTCATACTGCCGCAGAACCAGACCTCAGTATCGAACTTTGTGTTTCACAAACTTCAACAGGACAAGGGCATACTTTAGTGTTCTAAATGGTAATTAGGGGATTATATCCGATCAGTGGTACAGCGTGGGTCATGCCATGAAAGAGGCAATGGCTTGATGTGGATACAGGATTAATGAACATAATATCTGAGAGAATAAGACATAATAATAATGATAATAGCTAGTTCTTATATAGCGCTTTTCAGGACCGAAGGCCCTCTCAAAGCGCTTTACAGATATATCATCCGATTCAGGCTTACCCGCACACAATGTATGCACATTCTCCACTCCCTGGGGAACATTCCAGCCACGCGTCATTTTTACAAGCGCACACTTGCTATTAAAGCACATTAGCTTTCGCATCCTACCGGGTACCCATTTAACACCTGTGTGGAGAGTGGCAATGTAGATCAATGTCTTGCCAAAGGACATTAGTGCCGCGGTGGGACTTAAACGGGATTAGGTAGCAAGTCTTTGCTATCCTGTAATACAACAGCTTCCATCACCACCCTCTCTTAATTCTCTCTCTCTCTCTCTCTCTCTCTCTCTCTCTTTCACTCTCTCTTTCTCTCTCTCTTACTCTCTCTCTCTCTCTCTCTCTCTCTTTCTCTCTCTCTTTCACTCTCTCTTTCTCTCTCTCTTCCTCTCTCTCTCTCTCTCTCTCTCTCTCTTTCTCTCTCTCTTTCACTCTCTCTTTCACTCTCTCTTTCTCTCTCTCTTCTCTCTCTCTCTCTCTCTCTCTCTCTCTCTTTCTCTCTCTCTTTCACTCTCTCTTTCTCTCTCTCTTTCTCTCTCTCTTTCTCTCTCTCTCATCATCTTCTTCTTCTCATCTCTCCATTAGTCTGCCTAACTCTCTGTCTGATCTCTTTTTCTCATCCTCTCTGGCCCTATATAGAAGAAAGCCTCATCTACACTAAGATTTCAAGGTATTTACAATCTGTTTAATTTCCTTCCGCCTATTTCTGAACATGCATTATCCATCCCTTGCATCAAAGGATAGGCTAATCTATACAGGTACGAAACTCGGCAGGTTTGGGTCAGTTTGTTTATATCATTTGGGTGAAGACTACCTGAGAACTTGAAAATAATTATTTCACAATATACCTTAATATCACTATTGTCTCACAATTCAATCCCGTTTTCAGAAATAATGCGTATCAAAATATGTAGCTTAAAGGTACTATGTCCCTTTTGCAGCCAATCTCAAATTCTGTAGAACTTTGCAGGAATTATGAATATGTCATGTATGTCCTATCTGTGAAATTTAAACGTTAGCAGTGCCCTCGTATTCAAATTATGCAAGGAAACCCGTTTACTTGCTAGACTTCACTGTCAAACACTATTGAGTGACTGACTGGCTTTTTTTCTTCTTTGGTAATAACATACATGAAAAGAGTTGTAAAGGGTACATGAGCATTTGCCTATATCAATAACCCAGTTCTTGTGATGGCCAAGATTAAACTGATTGAATCTTTGCGCAGCATAAAACATATGACCATTCGGTACAATTGTCTGAAAATCAAGACTATTACTTTTGGGCTCTATAGCCCTAATGTTGATTTGATAACTAATAGTCGTTATTTTCCCACTTGAAGACATTTCCAAGCCCCACCTTTTTAGGGAAGTTCTAAATTAGTATTATCTTTCAAATGCAATTGGAATTTAACTTTTTCATTTTTTGGCCTGCAAATGGGACATAGTACCTTTAAACCAATAGAGCCAAAATACAGTCACTTAAACACAAAACACTTCCGATTGTATGTATAGAAATAAATATATTTTAATCTTAGCTTTGAAAGATAAAATCCAATTCATAATGAAAAAAGCAAGCACTCACAATAAACATAGTACATGCAGTGTTTATGGAATTTCTAAGTACAACTCCTTATAATTTTATTATAAACAACATTTCAAAACTATCTGGGTGCTGCCACGTAGTTATTGAGGGGGCACTCCAAAAGTCCCCCTATAATGGAATATAATAGAAATAGGAAAAAGAGGCTAAGAGAAAGAGAGAGGGGGAGAGGGGGAGAGATAGCGAGATAGAGAGAGAGAGAGAGGGGGGGGGGATTCCACTGCATAGTTTCTCCTACGATTGATAGTTCAATTATCACTGGATTTAAAATAAGTCATTAATTAGAAGCAGATTGAAGCAATGCTTCTTGGATCATGTTTCAACTTGTCAACTAAACAAATAAATCTTAAATGGCATGATGCTGAAAGTATTCATACATTAATATATCTTTAAGTCGTGCGCTTGTGCCTTTAATTTGGTAAGTCTTCGGGTAGAACTTAAAGACGCTTACTTATGCATACAATTGCTTTTTCCGCATTCAGGTCAAATAAACCAACAAATCATCAATATACGAACAAGAGTGTATACAAATGAGAAAAAAATGAATAAAAAACGATGCTTACTTAGTACACATTATCCAAAGCTCCCTCTGTGTCTGAGATGCTAGACCCTTATACAAATTGGAAGTATTAATGTAGAATGTATCGTCGTTAAAAAACCCTCATAAAACCAACAAAAGATACATTATTACAAAACCCTTGTCACACATAATGGGCTGCAATAAGTCATTCTCGGAATTACTACTATACAGGGAAAATCATGTGAATGAAGCTCAATCTAATAATATACTTGCTGTGAAGATAGATTTGTACTTAGTCATATTGTATGTTACATGTAAAATGGCACTGTCATTCCAGGCCCAACTGGCTAAGTTCTTTACCAAGGCTTTCCAAGATTATTTGCTAAGTCATGAACTGCAATGCTTGCACATATAATCGGTGTAGTGTGTAATGCGTGGCCATTATATGCTCTTTACGTTCATAATAATGCATTGTATATCAGCTTACTGCCTATAAGTACACATAAATCAAACATAACATGCACATTATATTGCATCCTGACTAACAAACAATTTAGACGAGTACTTTAAAAGATCTTTAAACCGATTTTAAAGATGGAAAAACGTAACGCCTTTTAATATGTCAATTGAAGTAGAAAGCCCCGCACGTATTTACCACACAGTCCGGCCTTTGCCAATCTGTCAAAGCTTTATTCATCTTTCGAAACTTCTATCGCTTTCGATTCTATTGAGACCATAAGTAAGCCTATTCATCGGCTTTGAAGAACTAGGCGTATATTTTTCCCATCCTTCATACTGCACAGTGTCAGTATGGTCATTGATCATGAGTGTAAACATATTAACCATACTTATAGTGCGAGTCTGGTTTCTTTTGACAGATATGTCCAATAATATGTCACTCTAGAAAAATAAAGTATGTGTACACGTAAACATAAAAACTCTAAATCCTGTACGTATAACATGTAATGAACATAAGTACATGACACCTGCCCTGCTCTCTTTCTCTTCCTCTCCCCCACTCTCTCCCCATCCCCTCCCCTCCTCTTCTCTCTCTCTCTCCCTCTCTCTCTCTCTCTCTCTCTCTCTCTCTCTCTCTCACCCCTCATCCCCCTCTCTTTCTCTCCCTCTCCACCTCTCCCCACTCTTTCTTTGTCTCCTTTTCTCCCTCCCCTTCCATCCCATCTCTCTCCCTCCCTGTCTTTCTCTCCCATCCCCTTCCCCCCCTCTCTCTCTCTCTCTCTTTCTGTCTCTCTCTCTCAAACACACACACACACACACACACACACACACACACACACACACACACGCACACTAGTTCACCCGTTGTGCATCTCCTCTCTGCTATATAATCACAACAATAATAAATGTAAAATCATTAAGAGCGAGAAAGGAATAAATCAATTAATAACTACCAAGTTTGATAACATCACTACTACACACGATTTTTCTCCCGCCTATGGTTTTGTGATGCCGGTTTCCAGGGTATTCCATTTTCGATTGTACGATTCCTGCTCCTGTGATATTTCCTCCGCGATAATATCCTATACTAGTTGAATACCTAACTTTAACCATGGACCCTACAATAAAAATACCTTAGCCCTATCATTAAACGTAATCTAAACCCCAAATGCAAGAACCCTAACCCTGTACTTTTTAGACAAAATGTAGCCCGGAGAAATAATCGCTGGAGCAAATATCGTCTTCACTGTCTCCTCCTAGAATTTACCAGGCACGTAGCCACGGGGGAGGGGGGACGAGGGGGGGGGGACGTGCCCCCCAGTACCCCCCAACAAAATTTCCAAGATCGGTTGAACTTTTTAGACCCCTTTTTTTGACCTCGATCGATTACATGTATGCCCCCCCCCCCAAACATCAAACTCTGACTACGTGCCTGAAATTCACGAGTAAGTTAGTAGGTCCTGTACATTTTGCATGTCAGCATAAGAGCCTTCACCAATGAATCTTATTTCATACATTATCAATCAACTATTCCTTATATTTTTAGTTAATCGTACAATATCCTGCAAACACTGGGCATGCTTGGAACGCCTTTAATTTTTAGTATTCATACCCAACACTGTCCATGTCAGTGTATACTACACTTCTCATAGGCATGTACTCGTGCTCAAGGTCACGGCTCGAATTCGCGTTCTTCCCCATCGTCATGCAATTCACCGTCGCTGATTGGTCCGATGATGTGGTCACGTGCAGTCGAGGCACCGTAAGGCTTCGTTCCATGGACCTCTCTCGCGCAGGTCCGGCGCCACTTCGGGTAGCATCGCCTGGCGTTGTCATGTACTCGTTACGCACCGGTAGACGGTCGGAGTGAGCTCGGGTAACGTTCGCCTCTCTCTGGCTTGCCTGGACCTTGACATCTGAAGACTTGAGCGTGAGACAGATTTTAATATCGCCACTATTCCCGCTAGGCTCTATCTCTGCCATAGTCTGACACGTAATTGGCGCCATAACCTGGGGATTGGTCTGGCCTTGGTCATAAGCATCTGTACCAATCGGAGCGGATTCCTAATAACATGAGTAATTGAAAGAACAGCGAATTGAACCTAAAATATAATTAGAGTCGAATTAATTGTTTTCATGTTTAACCATGTTTAAACCACAAACAGTTTATATACAGTTATTTGATTTGTGGAAATAAATGAAAAAAGATTATATTTACTGATGTTCAACATTTATGAAATAATAAATGAGATAATATAATAACAATAGCAATAGTGGAACGTCATAATTGTTCCTGACTGTTCGCCAGCTATACTGGAGTTTCGTGCATATTCCCCTCCTCCTTCCCATTTAAAATGAAGTTTAAACAAAACTGTCGTTGTTGCACTGTGTGTAACAGTCATTTAGCTGAGTTACATGTATAACTTAGACTACAATCTTTATCAAAATACAAATTTCAATTCCATTTTGTCTTGGACTATTGATTTACCTCTGGTATGTATGGTAGACACACTGAACGTGAGGGTGTATATCCTATGGATGGTAACGGAAGTCCGTCGTCAAGCTCAACGTAATTTGCAAGGTCGCCCTCTATCGGGTTGGTATGGGTTGTATGTTGCTGTTCCTTGATGCTGGCGGACTTCTGCTACCATTGGCGAAGAGTGAAACGAGAAAGAAATGTATAGATGGACAATTTATTTATTAAATGAGGGGGAGGAATGGAGGAGAATTGAAAGAGAGAGAGAGAGAGAGAGAGGGGGGAGAGAGAGAGAGAGAGAGAGAGAGAGAGGGAGAGGGAGAGAGATATATATATAGAGAGAGAGAGAGAGGAGGGTGGGGATAAAAGCAAGTTGTATATGGGGGGTGAGGGGAGAGGGGTTAATAAAAGAAGTTTTTGTGAGAATTACGATGGCAGTTATCCAGATAATGTTAATCAGTAATGGACACGAATTCAAAGCTAAAACGCCGCAATAAAAATAATTAAATAACATGGCTATATGTGTGTATATATGTGTATATGTGTGTATATATGTGTGAGACCGCTCTACTTGCAGTTCCATAATATATACCGCACTGACTAATTGCGCCCTCTATAAAGCCAACAATGCCTAAGCGGTACTCGTTGATCCCCATGGTCCCCTTTTCCTTATATTGATTGAGAGCTGATTTGATGAGATAACCACCTGCCAGTGACCATGCAGGGAGGTCTAATCCCCACTGGCTAAACTAGTGCAGATAGGCTTTAAGAGAGCACCATGTCAATATAATATGAGCTTCATGTTGATTCATGGGAACGTACGGTTTATCAGATGACCACTGTCTAAATGAATGCTTATTTAATTCAGCCGGTGCTTTCTAGCAACACTATATAATGCTAGCTTTGAAATAAACAACAGAAGGGACTGACATTTTTAATACAAAATTTTTTCTTTTTTCTTTAAATTTAACATCTCACAAGTATGTTTGTGTTTCCAAGGGAGAGGGGTATGTGACTCATACAATAAAATAAGTCCAGTTATTTGTATTGTATTTGTTTGAAACAGAATATCTCCGGAAGTAATAGTCATTCAATGTCAATCATATACAAATATCGGTTTCGATCCAAAAGCGCGTTCACTCATATACTTCAGCAAAATACTGAACACCCATCTGAGAAGAGGAAATATAAAGCTTCTGCATTCATGTAAATGTCGTTGTGCATTACAATATATTTTCATTGCTATTTGCTTTGTGGTAATATCATGTACCTACACTGTAAAAGTGTTAGCGTTTGTTTACTAACACGTTTTTGCCCCAAAAATCCAAACACATACATGTTTAGATGTAAGTATTCAAACATTTAAAACGCAGCTAAATTAACATTTATTGTTATACCAATCAGTAAGTTTATCCGCTTGTTTGCAAACAGTTTTGTCTCTCACTCTTGTATTTTTAATGGTGTTACCGTTGTGAAATTGGTCAAGATAAGTAAGCGTTTGTCGACGAGCTGCTGCTAACATGTCAAAAGCATTATATTCAGAACCAATTGGTTGAATCGTTTGAACACAAACTATTACAAATAGATCAATCGTTGTAAAATTTAGAGTGTATTCTCTTCAATATTTCATGGTCTAAATGACTTCCCCTGGACAAATACTGTAGTTTTGTAATCAAATATTGAAACTGAACTTGAACTTATCAACAATTGATCATGATCATAACAGATCATTTCATTTCCTTTCAGAAACAAGAAAGGGTAATTTCAAGTAACTGGAGTAGTTAGTATGTTTCGAGTATCAGTAGGCTATTTTAAATCAATCAGATGGACTAATCACGCGATTGACACAAATGGCAGCATTAACAATAGACCGTAATATGTTTTAAATGAAGAATGAGAAGAAGAAGACGAAGAAGAAGAAGAAGAAGAAGAAGAAGAAGAAGAAGAAGAAGAAGAAGAAGAAGAAGAAGTACAATACTAAGATAATGATATTAATAATAACGATGATAATAATAATATTAATGAGAAGAAGAAGGAGAAGAAGAAGGAGATGAAAAAGAAATGGAAAATAAAAAAGAAGAAGAAGATGAGGAGGAGAAGAATAAGAAGGGGACAAGTAAAAGGAGAAGAGGAAAAGTAAAAAGAGAAGAAGAGAGATAATAAGGTTAATGTTAGAAGAAAATAAGTAGAGAAAAGGGGCAAAATGAGTAATCATTTATAATCATAATAGTGTTTTCATGGCTGACCCAAATTCACAATAAAACACGAATTATGATTTAAAAAAATAAAGATTACAAAGAAAGTGAGGACAAACAAATTGAAAATTAAATATTTATAGGATACTTACTCCTTTTTGAGAACGCTCTGTTGCCTTGTTACCCGGAGTAATATAACCAAGATGAAAAGAGTCTTTAAATAAGATGAAAAAAGAGATATATAGATAGATCTTGTTATTAAACTAATCGAAGTGAATTGATAAAAAATTGGCAAATCGTTAACATGATACAAATAACACTAACAGCAAGACGTACAATTATAAATTAATATTATTATTATTATTATTATCATCATCATTATTATTGTTATTATCATTTTTATCATTCTACTTTTTCTTTTCTTCTTCTTTTTCTTCTTTTTCTTCTTACCATTATCATTATTATTGTAGTCATTTATTACTGTTATTATTCGTTATTTCTAACATTACTTTTTATTATTATTAATATCATTATTAATATCATTATCATTTTCATTATTGTTATCATTTATATTATTAACATTGTTATTATTGGTATTATTATCATCATCATCACCACCATGACCATCACTATTATTATTACAAGGAAAAGGCTTTTCAACGGGTTGATATTTGAAAGATATATGCCTATAACCAAAGACTCTTCGATGGAATTTAAGAAACAACAATCACTAGTGTTTCAAATCTTTCACAAAAATTATCCGAGAAAAGAGGCGCGAAATATGTTAGATTGTGTAGGCATGCCAACCTGGGTCTAACATACCTCCCCCGCTGCGTACAGTCATGGTTCAGTGGCAAAGCAATGGCCTCGTAACTGTGAGGCCCCAGGATAAAAAAACGTGTCGATGTGCTATATTAGTGCCCTTTTGTGGGGCATTAATCCTCATTACTGTCATTTATGACTTAAGGGCGTAGGTCCCCTCGTTGATAAACATAGCAGCATACATATGCTTTATATTTTGAAAGCATAGTAGCATACATATGCTTTAGCAGTCACGCAAAACAAACACTGGCAAATTATTATTCAATAAATTCTGAGAATGTATACTATTATCTAGATCTATTAGGAATAAATTCTGGTATATTTAAATGTTGTATTAAAAAAGATATGAAAACCGATGCCCCCCCCCCCCCCCCCCCCCCATTGACTTTTCCAAATATGAAATCAAATAATTATACAATATCTTATTTATTATCCATACTTACTAGATTATAAAAATGACACTAAAATTCGATTAATATCATCAAAACGAATTTCATGTTGTTCGGCAATATCTTACAATTTTCCGTATCTTTCTCTCCTCGTATTGATTGATGTACAGTTTTTTTATTCTACTGTGAATGCTTTAGTATGTGCTTTGATAGATAATGTTACAAAGAAAATGATCTAAGACTTGAACTGAAGCTTAAACTTGAATTTGAAGGTGAACTTGAAATTAAGTTCCTTTATTTTAGGCTGATATGTTTCACTTCATAATGCAGTGCCTTCTACTTGGTATTTTGTTTCCTTAATCTAAAAACACGTAACGATTTTCAGGTTTTCAGTAAACCAAGAATTTAAATTAAATGTTTTAAAATTGTGAAGAAAAACAACGACATTTCTAACAAATTTCGACTTTTATCAAAAAAATTCATCGATGGGGGGGGGGGTGTAGGGGCTTTAATATAAACATTGTATTATGTCATGTCGTGGCAGATGATGGTGGTGTTTATGACTTACTTCGAGGTCGATTCCGCATTGTCCATACAACGAAGAATGCGAAGAGGAAAGCACTTAGGAAGACGAGTATGACCACTATTATCTTGTACTCCTTGGACTGCACTACGTGTTCTGTAATCAAACATAATTTGATAAGGATTTTTTTATTTATTTTGTCATGTTTTCTTTATAAAAAGCAGGGTAGTCCCAATCAAGCCACAAGGCCTGCTTTACAAGGGAGCCCTGCTGTCACAAACAAATTACATCTTAAATATCTTACAATACACAAAATATACAATAATTAAAAAAACATAATATAAACGAAATATAAAACATTTTTATACAAATAGGAAATTAAATGAAAATGGAAGAGGAGAGAGGGTAAACGAAAGAGATAGAGAGAGAGAGAGAGAGAGAGAGAGAGAGAGAGAGAGAGAGAGAGGGTGGTAGTAATACTTCATGTGAGCGGTCGCAAAATCAACTCACTTGAATTTCACGCACATTTCGTTTAAAAATGGGTAGTGAGGCGGAACATTTGGTAAGTATGGGTAATGAGTTGAATAACTTTGCTGCTGTGTACGAGATGATAATGATGATAATGACATAGAAACATTATAACATCTTATCGTACCGATTACACTCTAAAAGAGTCGGGTAAAGTTTAAGCCACGCTGGTACAAAGGGGAACATACTTGTTTATCTGGTAAAATGTATACAACATTGATTACAAATTTACCCCATATGTGCACAATTTCACTTCACATGTTTTAGACTGTACATTACTGTGTTTACGTGCAGTATTGATATACTTTTTACAGTCGGTTTGATCATGGTATTACCTGTTTTTGTATTCGGACCATTTAATCAAAGATAAGCCGGGCTCGCTTAATACTAGGTGAATAATCAAATCAATTGAATTGAAAGGTTTACAAGTTGATCAAACATGAAAGGCAGTCACAATCTGTATTGTTCATATTTTTACAGTGCAAGTAAAATACAATATTCATACAAATTTCATCAGTAGCAAAACATATGTATCTGGATATGAAAGGTAAACAAAATAAGTGGGATTAATGAAATTGGAAAATAACATGTTAAAATTTGGTTTTTATATTATATATAAACGACATTGCAAATAAGAGTTCCTCACTGCTACCAATCGAAATATCGGACGTCACTAAGTAATGAAAAAATAAGTGGTCAACTCAAGCAACATTTACTTTAAAAAGAGTGCGTTTCTGGTTAAGGTAATTTGACTGGTTGACTATTCGTGCCACCACTGTTCTTTTTACGTCATACAAATTTAAAACTACGTACACGTTTTAAAGAATTGTATACGAATGATGTTGTTGAATATCATTACGCTGAATGTCAAATCAATATATAAGTATATCAATAAATATTAGAGAAACCACAACCTGGATAGCTTTAGAAAAAACATTTTCACTTATTGTAATAAACAAATTAAGCCCACTATCTTCAGAAATGTGAGAAAAACAACGCACGTATTGTCCAATGAATTGTAAGTTTATTCAAATAAGTACGAAATGAAAACCGTCAGATTAACAGTTAACCGTTTAGATTAGAAACCAAAATAAGATTTGACTTTTATTTACTCCAATAATTTTATACGAAAATCGACTATAAGAATGTTAAACAACCAGCGGAACCTGTTTGAGATTTGAACATTAAGGTTAACAATTAAATTCATAGTTAATTTATAGGTAAAAGCTATTCTGCAAAATCATAATATCCTTGATTTGATTTGAAGAAAATCAGTCTAAAATCTCTGATGAAAAAGGCAGATAAAATGACAATTTTGGGATTGATAAAGTTTATGAGCCATTGTACTTACCGAGGAAGAGAAAAGCTAGCAAAAGCACAAGCTTTGTTGTAACAAAGAAAGCCATCTCATTTAAAAGATTACCTTCTCCAAATAGTAGGAATTATTCACGCTCTGATTCTCTCATTTTTTATATACTCCTTTGATTTTCTAGACTGAAGCACAATCATGAGTATACTTGGCGTGTTAGTTCCGTTATACACATGAAATACCGAATGATGGTCTTATTGAAAACTGAATAATATCTGTTCAAGTCGAGACAACTCCCAAAGCGCCCTGCAAAGCAAGAAAGTCTCGGTATTGCGGAAGCTTTCTCTCATTGTTGTTATCTGATATCACTTTCGGAATGAAATTGCATGGTGATTAAAATCAGATTTACTTTCGATCACAAAATGAAAACTGTCATTGATATACAGTTTTAGGGAGATAAATAAATCAGCGAAATTTAATGTGAACGATACATTTAAAAAAGGAAGTAATATTTGTCTTTGCCGTTGACATATTATGATGAATAAGGTGATAATATTACAAGGGATTATACAGTCTTGTTCTAGACTCAGAGGAAATAATATTACTCATTTTATTATTCTTATCCAGTGCAAAAATCAGAAAACTTCCCGCAATCGGATTCGTTTCAAATTTACATAGCATACGCACACGCTATAGGCCCTATATTATAACACGTTGTTTGAATAGAGGACGTTAGAGGAAGTAGTAAGTAGTAGAAGTAGTAGGGAAGAGAGGCGCATCGGACTTACCCGGGGTAGATTACAATTGTGAAGAAATCGGTCCTTCGAGTGGGGGGGGGGAGGGGGAGTGTGTAACCTTATCTTACTGGTGATTCTTCCCCATTCTCTCTCTCTCTCTCTCTATTTCTCTCCCTCCCTCCCCCCCCCCCCTCTCTCTCCTTTCCCCCTTTTTGTCATTCAGTTGGGGGTAGGTGGGGTGGGGGGGCACATGCCCCCGGCTCGAGATACGTAGCTTCGGTAATATAGGCAAGGAGCTATTCCCGTACAGACCATTTTTTTTATGGTACTTTAAATTGGATTGCCTCTATAGATGATTAATTTTGCACTTAAAAATGTATGTAGAAACCGAAATTCCATCGAATGCTATAAATGCAATTTAGGTCAAACCTAGAAGTTGAACCTCTTCAGTTGATCGAATCTCTCGTGCTGCACATGATTAGAATGAAATGTCTCGCTTTCTTTATCGGACTATTAGGACATTTTCCATATAAATCTCAAAGGATTCATGAATGCCAGTTTGATATCTGTCTTTGTATTGTTCTATATAATAATAATAATAATCAAGTCATTTTTATATAGCGCATAATAAATTCTCTTTTCGCTTTACAACACTCAATTATAAATTACATGATATACAGTTATCTGTCGAGGGCCTTCTTACTTATGTATACGTTTTCCACTTGATACTCGTGTACAGTTTGTTTGATTTTATACACTATTTAATGATGTGTGATTCTAATTTAAAATAATACATATACATATATATTATGAGTTATATGGATATCGGTCAAATAAGAAAGAGGGAGAGGGAGAAATAGAAAAAGGAGGGGGTTGGGAGGGAGGTGGAGAGAGATTTGTTGCCGTTTGGTCTAATCTCTAATAAGTCCATTTGGTCTATTGCTCGTTTAGTCTAAGCTCCGGTCGGTCGAATTCCGAGTTTTTCTAATGCCAATTCTGTCTACTATCTGTATGGTTTAATAATGATTTAATCATAATAAATAACAATCATCAAATTATTATTAGGCCTGAGAAAAGACCATTTGGGTAGGAGACAAACTGGTTGTAGAGTAAACGGCAATTCACCGCAGTATAGAGAGAGAGAGAGAGAGAGAGAGAGAGAGAGCGAGAGAGAGAGGGAGAGAGAGAGAGAGAGCGAGAGAGAGCGAGAGGGAGAGAGAGAGAGAGCGAGAGAGAGAAAGAGAGAGAGAGAGAAAAAGAGAGAGAGAAAGAGGAGGGTGAAAGAAATACACCCCCTCGTTGACACACAGCCCATGAACTTTTAAAAGGGCATTGATATCTTCTTAATAAAGTTGTAATCAAGCCTATGGCTTCATCTAAAGATCACACTTGAAACTAACCATTCAAACTAGCCGAAGGTCATGTAGATAAACATGTATTAATTATCAACCCCTTGAGAATCTCAAGTAATTTATACATTTCTTTCTTTCTCTGAATTTCACCTTTTTTAAATTCTGCATGATAGTCTCTGCACCTAGTAAATTCAGAACATATTACGGTGTATATAGGTGTCTTGGAGAATCCGTTTATTTTTACTAAGACGGTGTTATTAGGGACTTTTAGATTGAGCGGAGGAAAGCGGCGTAAACGTCCACTGATCACGCGTGACCATGGCAAACCTTGACCATTCTTGATATCAAGAAATGATTTTCTGTTGTAAAGCAATGGTAATTCTTGATATCAAGAAATGATTTTCTGTTGTAAAGCAATGGTAATTCTTGATATCAAGAAATGATTTTCAGCAGTAAAGCAATTGTAATTCCTGATATCAAGATATAGGAATAAATGTTAAAACGGCTTGCCATGGACACGCATGATCAGTGGACGTTCACGCCGTTCTCGTCCACTCAATATTAAAGTCCCTAATATCGCAATCAGCTCCTCCCAAAGGAAAGGAGCTATGTCAGGCATGGTGAAGACAGGAGTTCTAATTGACCGCTGATGTTTTCTCAAAGGCTATAAAAGTGATCGGAAAAGAGGGGGGTTAATCAGACATAGCCTTTGGATACTACAGTGTATCACCTGATCCAGAAGAAAGAGTAAGTGCTTTTCATTTTGATTTCACCACAAGGACTTGATACATATAGATCAGATTTAGAACTATAATCAGATATGAATAATGCACGTTTAGTTCTCAAGGACTAGGACTGGTTGAAGAGAGAAACAGATACCCATTTTAATAATCCGATATTCTATTAAAGATAGACTAAACTTTGTTTCAAAAGATCAATATGTAGATTCGATTAAGCTATTGACGTCTTTATTTTCTTATATCTTAATGATTTCCACCCAAACAAAAAACACTGAATACTTTGCTTTATAGAATAATGAAAATGTACTCATAAATAAAGAACGATCAAATGAATAAATAAATGTTTCAGAGATAATTTGAGGGGCAATGGACAAATGGTTATCTTTTCTTAATTTATAATTGTCACAGGCAGTAACTTGAATTTTGATTTTATTTTAGAGCAGTAGATAGATTATATTGAATCGAATGATCCTTTCACTCTTAAAATCAAAAGGGGGAATATAATTATTTGTTTATTTTTTTTGGGGGGGGGGAGGGGGATGTTAATATGGTTTTTGTTTACCCCATTCGATTCCGTTATGCTTGAAAATATAAAATCTGGCTAATCGGAGAAACTACCACTTGGCACATGTTTTAAACTAATAGAGCCATAATTAAGTGTGACAAATATAGGAACCATCACGACTTTCGTTTGCAGTAAACAAACAAAAAATCCTTTAATATATCTTATCTTTACATCACAAATCGATAATGAATGGGGCCACATCCTTTGGTTTCTTGATTAACTTCTTTTAAAACGTTGTGTGATAAACCTCAGGCACACCTTCAAACCGACCCGAGGCTGACTCTAAACCGACCGATTCTTGGCTATTCGGGGTGATGTAATTTTCTGTAATTGACTCGCTTTTGCCATTAATTTTTTGACTCCGTCAGTTTCGTTGGTGTGACGGAGCCTTAAGTAAATCGTTCTTGCTTTCATCCTCCCTCAATGTTTTTCTCTGTGCCTTCTACCTAACTGTTCTTACGATTAGCGTCCTTGTCTGATGGTAAGATATACATGCGTCATCACATTGGAAATATTAATGTTAATGGTAATTATCTGGTACAAATTCCTTTTCTTTCTTGTTGATTTAAGCTCCTATCAACTCTAAACAATGGCTTCCAAGCTCCTTCTCGTTCTCGCCTTCGCCTCCATCGCTCTCATCCTGGTAGCTTCAGCCTTGGATGAATTCGATGTGGAAGTGGTGAATGATGACGGATATAAACGTGATCCTGATCTCATCATCGGTATGGAAGACATGGAGAAGAGAGGAAAAGGACGTCCACTGTAAGTCAACAAGCCATTTTTATAATGTAACCAAATGTAATGCATACACCTTTGTGAAGAGCCTCAATATACATATCTAATTGACCTGTAATGAATAATTGTATTTCAATAGCAGGATGCAATACACATGTTATAAGTAGGGCAAGCCATAATGTTTGTCCTACCTAGCAACAGCTATTGTGTTCAGTTCCCATTCTGACTAATGATATATAACCACTCGTAACAGATGAATGAAATAATGCGTATCGAGGACTACACAAAGACGTATGCTTTAAAACTTGGTCACATTTTGAGTAAAGTGGGTATCGGCCGTTACTAGACGGGAGTGCATCCTATTTCAAAAGGATATAAAAAAAAAACGACAATATGGTGAGGGTGATCATAAAAGAGAAGGGGTTTGGCGTATCTAGTTAAAGGTGTATTAACGTAAGGCCTAAACAAAATACCGTGTTGTATTGCCCTTTAGGTGCCAAAACATGGGTCGGTCGGTTGGAAATCTTTTTTTCTCTCTCTCTCCCTCTTTGGGCTGATATTTGTCAGTGTTGAATGATTTAATATTTTGTCTTCTTCTCAAAAACGATTTTAAAAGCCGACCATAGCTTATAAAATGTTGGGGTCAGTCGGAGAGGGTAATACAACATCTTGTTTTGTTTAGGCCTAACTATAATCCTCCACGTCCCTCTGTTTTGAGGCCTAGGAAAATCTATATCACAAACCAACTATCAATGTGACAAATGATAGAATAATGGTCATTATTTCTACGATATACTAGGGTTTTATCATATTCCGTCTGTTGCTGTTGTGCAAATTCTGGTTAAGCCACTATGAATTCTGTAATCTTTACTTGTGTGAACCATATCAGCAAAGCAAATTTATTTTTAATATCATCAATGCATTGCAAGTTTAGTGAGAAACGGCTACCTGCACGATATTCTGGACGACTTTCAAGAAAAAAACGTTCAAGAAATGAAATTATATGTTTCTGTAGTGCTAAAATAAACGTTGTCGCATCGCTGACACACACAAAAAATATATATATAATCGGTTTACCATTTTTGGTCGTAAATGAAGTTTGAAGGGTAAAGTGTTGTACTTTGCTTTGGTGATGACGAAGATGATGAGGATAATTAAAAGAATAACATCATTAATAATAAAAGTGATTATAGCAATGATACACACATATTAATAATAATAAAAAACAATGATAGTAACTAAAATTTATTCTAAAATTTCGATGTATGAAACAACAATTAATTTTTCTGTTTAAATGTTTATATTTTACAAAAATTATCATCATTTGGCACATAATTGATGTATGTATCATGATATAAGTATACCAAATGCTTCAAGGTGATTTAACTGTTTCCAGTGCAAGACAAATGTATAGAGGCGTTAAAAACGGATTTAATGCAGAGCTAATCAAAACCAAAAAATTGTCATTTTGCAAATCCATTCTTCTTCTTCTTGATTTGATTTTGTTTGGCAATCAGTCACCATTGACTATTTGTGCCACACACTATTTTATGAATTATTTATATATATATATACATAGGTACAATTCTATGTCATAAATTACTATTTTTAGGATTCTTTCTCTTTCCATCCCCTTTCCTTGTGCAAAGCAATTCTTCCCTCAAGCATTGTTACTTATTTTGTGTGTGATGATCTGCACATGTTTGGTGTTCAACAATATGGGATAGATCAACGTCGATCTGGCGCTGCTCAGTGGCTGCCAGGCTCACGATCAATAGGGAAAAAAGAATTTCCATTTTCGGTTTAACTTAATAAAATTTGGAGTGAACTTTAAAAGATTATTATTATTATTTTTTATTATTATTATTATTATTATTATTATCATTATTATTATTATTGTTATTATTATTTTTATTATTATTATTATTATTATGTAGCAAACAAGTGAGCGTACATGCCATTGAAAGGTTAATCAATATTCATTCTCTTTCCTAGCATGTTCCAATACAGCTGGCCGAGAACCGCGTTTGGCCGTGGGAAGAAGTAAATAGCTGACACCGTCGAGGAATGTAAGTAGAGACAATATTTTGTTGTTGCTGTTGTTTTGTTTGTTTGTTTTACCTTACTGCTCAGAAAGTAATTGTATGTTTGTAAGTAAGCAACCATAATCGTATCATGGTGAATTGTCGAGGGGATCTGGAGGGGGCATTATGAAAGATTAACAAGTGTAGGTGATATTTGAAATTGCGTCATCTTTCGGTAGAGGTGTACACGGCGTAAACAGAGCGATTTCCGGTTCCTGTTCCAAGCACCATACACAAGCGCTGATCAGTTAATCATATGCATTGTGGATCATAGCTGTCCAAATATCGGGACAAGGTTAACAGCAGAGGGCAGTATACGTAAATCCGAAGCAGAGCCATCCACTATGAATATGACGGACAAAGAAAGCGGACAAAATATACAGTTCTTCAGGTAGACAAAGGAGCATCCCTTCACTGCTATTATGTAAAAATGTGTAGAACAGGTGACTATGCATGTGACACCTGTTCTACACATTTTTACATAATAGCAGTGAAGGGGTGTTCCTTTGTCTACCTGAGGAACTGTATATTTTGTCCGCTTTCTTTGTCCGTCATGTTTATATATCTATACTCATACATATAGATGGCTCTGATCACATACATATAGATGGCTCTGATCACATACATATAGATGGCTCTGATCACATACATATAGATGGCTCTGATCACATACATATAGATGGCTCTGATCACATACATATAGATGGCTCTGATCACATACATAGATGGCTCTGATCACATACATATAGATGGCTCTGATCACATACATATAGATGGCTCTGATCACATACATAGATGGCTCTGATCACATACATATAGATGGCTCTGATCACATACATATAGATGGCTCTGATCACATACATATAGATGGCTCTGATCACATACATATAGATGGCTCTGATCACATACATATAGATGGCTCTGATCACATACATAGATGGCTCTGATCACATACATATAGATGGCTCTGATCACATACATAGATGGCTCTGATCACATACATATAGATGGCTCTGATCACATACATAGATGGCTCTGATCACATACATATAGATGGCTCTGATCACATACATATAGATGGCTCTGATCACATACATAGATGGCTCTGATCACATACATATAGATGGCTCTGATCACATACATATAGATGGCTCTGAGCACATACATAGATGGCTCTGATCACATACATATAGATGGCTCTGATCACATACATATAGATGGCTCTGATCACATACATATAGATGGCTCTGATCACATACATATAGATGGCTCTGATCACATACATATAGATGGCTCTGATCACAAGTAGTGCCAGTAGAATACACTGCATCTGATATTGTGTCACCTTCCACATCTGAGGTGGGGACGGGAAGGCACGGGAATTATAACTACATTTCCCGTTAATAAAGAAAAAAAGTCGCTCCCATGAAGTTATGCTTAATAGTATGTTTTTCTGATTTCTCTTATTCAATCTATTTCAGCAGATCTCAACTGGATATGAGGATGCATACCTTTCCCAACACTCCTCACCAAACGTTAACTTTAATTTCCTGGCGTTTTTTTTATGTTGTTTTGTTTCGAAAGCAGAATCGGTTATTGGTTAATTTCGTTTTTGCATTAGTCACGTGAAGCACCATTCTTAACTGGGCTTGACACAAATTCAACAATAAAGGTCTTCCTAAGAGAAACAAAAGTATGTCATGGTGGATAAGGATTGTGTTTGCATGTACCTGTGGCTATTTGATTAGTTCAAAAAGCATTTAAAACATTTCCTTTTAATTTTGCCCTGGTTTGTACCATCTTTGTGACTGACTGAATGCGAAGCATAATGCCAGGAAGAGTTTTCCAATGAATCTCCTAACAAGCGGGATGTTTATTTATCTATTCATATTTATATTGTTATATTGGGCCTTCCTCACCATTACAATAATTTTCAAATATTATATTACATGTATCACCTTTAATAGAAGCTACTATCGAATTTTCTAATGTATACTTTATGCCTACTTACTTGTAATTTTTGATTATATATGTAATTATTTCAATTATATCTTTATTTCTATTGTCTTCTACATTTGTATCTTGATTTTGAAATGTTTGTAAAGCGCATTGGTATTACCTTCGGTAATTAAATGCGCTATATAAGAGCTTACTATTATTATTATTATTATTATTTAAAATCTATTTTACATCCACATTCCTTGTTCTTAACAAAATTTGACTGTGAAAGAATAATACATGTATATATCTTTAAAAAATGATATGTCATTTTATACATCATTGTCATTCTCAAAGCCTTATAGTGGATATCAAAATAGAGAGTGGGCCTACAAGTAGTCATGGTATAGTATGTGTACTGAGTTCATTGATCTTTAGTATGATACACTCAGTATGACCTGCCATGTATGATTTTTATCAATCTTTTTCGGGAGAGGGGTGGCATGGATGAATGTTCACAATGTGATGTTTTTAGAACTTTATTATAATAAATTCTCGTTCAACCCAGCATATGTTTATGTCTCTTTTTGTATTCTACGTGTATTATTCCTTTGTTTGTTTGATATTGGTATTTTCTCAATAATTATACACTTGTTCAAAATGCCTTTGATTCAACGGCTTTGATTTGTTTTAATCAAAACTTTGGGAGGTCGATTGTTATGGAAGGTTGGCAGTGGATAGACGGCTGATAGGTGGATGGTTGAATCGTAGTTTGATTGATTGTTTGATTTACTGATTGATTGATTAATTGATCGATGATTGGTCAATAACTGTTTGATTGCTTGTTTGGTTGGTTGATTGATTTATTGATTGACTGATTGATTAAGTTTTTATTTACTGATATATTGATTGGTGATTGATCGATGACAGATGATTGATTGGTTGATTAATTTGGTGTAATATTGATTGATTGACTGTTTGATTGCTTGTTTGGTTGATTGATTTATTGATTGACTGATTGATCAAGTTTTTATTTACTGATTTATTGATTGATGATCGACTAAGTTATTAGTTGATTGACTGATTGAATGATTGGTTGACTGTTTGATTGCTTGCTCGGTTGATTGAGTGATTTGAAGAGAAGACGTGCCCACTTACAATCACTCTTCAGTCACTGCCCGTCATTCATTTCTTCTCATCCTTGCTGCGTGTACCGTTCAGCATCACCAGAAACCCAGTAAGCACGTCTGTTCTTTCTGCTTGTCAATACATCGAGCTTCGCATATCTTGGAGCCCTGGCAGTTCTGTGGCTGGTCCCCCCCCCCCCCCCCCACTCAGTGTTATTTAGGATACGCATAATTATGCTTGTTCCCTCTTTTTGAAAGCACCCCCTATCTGAGGACTGCCAACATTACCGAACCCCTCTTTCGCGGGCTTTTCGCGGGCTTTTTCTGCCTTGGAGACTCCCCTTAATCATGAAAAATGCTCAATGTACCCCCTAAATTCGGAATAATTTCTCAAGAGTCCAAAGAGATGAGAGAAAAAACACCCCTTTTTAAAGAAATCTCCGGGTGAAAAGTTAATACACCCCTTTTTTTTACAATTCTCGGGCCGGACTTTGTCGCACGAAAAGTACCCCTTTACCGAACATTTTGGTAACACGCATGGGGTCCGTCCGTTTTCGGAGTGGGGGGGGGGGGCGGGGGTTGGTTCCGGTCCCCCGCGCCTGTGCCCCCGAAATAATCAAGGCGCAAACAGATGGTCAATCTCCAGATATACCACTGCTTGAAATCGCCTGAAAGGTGACTTTTGAGGACATAGAATGACATAAGATAGGTTAGAAAAGCTGTGCAAGCCACCCATTATTTTACAGTCTCTTACCGTGACTTCAACGGAGAAGGCTGTGGTAAAGTCTATACCTCAGCAGGCTTCTCTCCAGCCGCTCATACTGAGCTTCTCGATACGACGAAGCATCTTGTTGGGCAACAGGGTTTACCCTAGGCCCATCAGTCTCCTAGGTGGCTGGTGGAGCTTTACCCCTACCCGGATGTGTCCTAACTGGACCCAGTTACACTTGTTGGGTGTAATCCGGTACCCAATATTGTTTCGGGACCCGTCTTGATTTATTTTTTTATTTTCTTCTGCATCCATGTAAGTACACAGTTTTCCGATAACAGTAATAATATAAAGAACAATTAGTATGTTTCTAACAAGGAATCATAAATAAGCAAATATATAATAATTGTTATTTACAAAAAGAAATCATAAACTGTCATAAATACTAAATGTCCTCATAACATGGAATTCTCTCTCAAATGAAATGCAAAATCATCATACTCTTTCCTCTTTCAAGAATAGTTATAAACGCACATTTTTCTGAAATAAAAAATTAGTTTTACATTTCTGGCCCGCCGTACTCAATAATCATGATAATCGTTGATCAAAGTTTGTTTCGATTTCATTTTATGTAATATATTTATATTTATGTATTTATTGTATATTGTATTGTAGATGCTTTCTTATGTATAATATTTATATGGATTATTATATTCGTATTTGCACTTGTTATTCAATTCTAACCTTCGGGATTCTTAACCGTCTTTATTGTTGCTATTTTATTTTTTCATTCAACAAATAAGATTGATCATTAACTTCTTTCAAACGAATTTCTAATATTGTTTTTCTTGCATTTTAAAGCATTTTGTGTATTTTTTGACTGATGTAATGAAAAGAATAATACATATGATTTATAAGGCGCCAAATCCACTTGATAATCAAATGCTCAAGGTGCAGCTTGTGCAAAGATGAAATACATACATGATACGTTTATACAAAGTGCGATAGGAAAGGTACAGACATGAAAGGTTATGGTAATCGATTATAAGCTAAATTAAACAGATATTTCTTAAGATTGTTTTTTAACACTTCAGCAGAACTGCTATTCTTAATCCATTGAGGGAGAGTATTCCATAATGAAGGTCCAGCATGAGCGAAGGTTCGCTCCCCCCACTTTGTTTTAACCCTAGGAGTAACAAGTAAGCCAGAGTTTTGAGAACGTAGCTGTCTAGAAGGAAAGTAATGCTTAATCAAGCCGATGTTATACTGCGGAGCAGAGCCATGTATACAGTGAAATAATAGCAAAATAATCTTGAAAACAACACGTTTTTCTATGGGCAACCAATGGAGTGATTTGAGGACTGGTGTGATGTGACTGTACTTGTTGGACAGGGTCACGACACGAGCAGCAGCATTCTGTAATCTTTGTAATTTTGCGAGTAGGTTGGGAGGTGAACTAAACGAAAGGCCATTACCAAAATCCAAGCGAGAAGAAATTAAAGCATGAGTAATTTTCTCAGTGGCACTACGGTTAAGATATCCCATTGGTTAGAATTGGAAATGTTTAATTATGTTAACAGGACATCGATGAAAAACAGCTTTGCTGATTCGATTGTTTCTTTTTTATCCTGTATAAATATGTCAAATAAATAAATAAATAAATAACATTATTTGCGGAAGAAGGACTGTCATTGTTAGCAGATTGCTAATCTATTATTTTTGTTTCATGAATTTTTTTTTCCCTTGAAATTATTTTTTCCAAAAAAATGCTTTTTTGGGTAATTTTTTTTTTCCCGAAAAATGCTTTATTTGGGTCAGATTTTTTTTTTTTCGATTTTTTTTTTCCCCCCCAAATTGTTTCATAATTTTTTTTTTTGTAAGGTTTTTTTTTTCTTTCTTGAACTATCTCGACAGATTATTTTTCCGTAATTTCCGAAAAAAAAAAGGGGAATTTGTTTTGGGGGCAAACAATTTTTGGACCCCCCCCCCCCCCCCCCACAAAACAGGGCTATCTAATATAACAGTTATTGACTGGCAGGGGGTATATAACACTCTTTGGACCTGAAGGGAGTTATATTTCCCCTCGTGACCATATTTTCCCGAAGCGCGCAGCGCTGAGGGAAAATATAACCACTTGGGAAATATAACTCCCTTGAGCGGTCCAAATAATGTTATATTACACCCCTGCCAGTCAATAACTGTATGATAATCATCTAATCATAAATAATAACAATCATCAAATTATTATTAGGCCTGAGAAAAGACCATTAAGGGTAGGAGACAAACTGATTGTATAGCAAACGGCAATTCACCGATACAGAGAGAGAGAGGGAGAGAGGGAGAGAGGGAGAGAGGGAGAGAGAGAGAGAGAGAGAGAGAGAGGGGGGTCATGAGCCGAAGGAAAAGGAGGAGGGGTGATATATAGGTCTGAGTACAAATGATTTCACATTATGTCTTATCGTTTGCTGAGCAGACAAGCATACGAAAGATTTATAACATAAACATTGTTTGAGGTATGAGGTTCGTTCGTTTGACTGATAAAAAAGAATGTATCATTGTAAGCAGGCCGTCCTCTCTACCAATCAGTCAATCAACAACTTAGTCAATCATCAATCAATCAATAAATCAATAAATAAACAACTTAATCAATCAGTCAACCAATCAATAAATCAGTCAATTAATCAATCAATCGACCAATCAATCATTCAATCAATTTATTACTCAACCGATCACTAAATCGATCCATCGATCAACCAATCAATCAATCAGTAAATCAATCAATCAGTCAATCGATCAATAACTAATCAATCACCCAACCTATTAATCACTCAACCACTTAATCAAACTATGATCCAACCATTCACCGATCCAGCCGTTCATCCTGTGCCATTAATTACTAACAATCGACCTCCCAAAAGCCTTTATTAAAATAAATCAAAGCCGCTCAATCAAAAGCATTTTGAACAAGTGTATAATAATTGAGACAATACCAAAATCAAACACACAGAGGAATAATACAAGTCAAGTAAAGTACAAGTAAAGACAAAACATAATATGTTTGGTTGAATGAAAATTTATTATAATCAAGTTCTAGAAACAATGCATTGTGGACATGCATCCATACCGCCCCTCCCCCAAAAATGATTGATAAAGATCGTAGGTCTTACATGTATCATACTAAAAAATAATGACGCCATGAATTCACTAGTACACATACTACAATGGCAAGTATTCCTGCTCTCTATCCTGTTATCCCCCTAAGGCTTTGTGGCTGCCAAGAGAGTGACAATATTTTTAGAAATATATAGAATTATACATGTATTATCCTTACCCGATTTATCTTTGTTAAGAACAGAGAGTATGGATGTCGAATAGATTTACAATGCTTTTTAACATATAGCCATACGTAGACCCTACATGCAAACACAATCCTTATTCACCATGACATAAAAAGCTACTTTTGTTTCTCTCAGGAAGACATTTATCGTTGAATTTGTGTCAAGCACAATTAATGCTTCACGTGGCTTATTTAATGTAAAAACGAAAATAACCAATAACCGATTCTGCGTTCGAAACAAGAAAACGTAAGGTAATTAAAGTTAACATTTTGGTCAGGAGTGTCTGGAAAGCTATGCATCCTCATTCCAATTGAGATCTGCTGTGATAGAATGAATAAGAGAATAGAGAAGAACAATCAGAATATATAACATTTCATGGAGGGGACGTCTTATATTTATAAATGCAAAAACTGAATTCAAATTTCAAATTTTAACATAAGTATATGATTTTCAAACATAATTTGATTATGATATAATTTATAAACATCTTCCCAACCATGCATATCGACTATTAATATAAATCCCCTTCGAACATTGAGGAAATCCCCGGGTCGGACGTGCCTTTCCGTCCCTCATCCCCCAGATTTGGAAGGTCACACAATATCAGAGGCAGTGACCATTCTACTCACACTACTTCGGATTATATGGACCTACTGAAAGGCACTGCATGTCCCGATGATTTGTCCCACAATGCATTCATTTACTGAACAGCGCTTGATGATGGTGTTTGGAACTGTGTACGCCGTGTGTATGCCTTCACCGAAAGATGGCGCAAATTAAAATAATTATCACCTACACTTGTTAATCTTTCATAATGTCCCCTCCCTTAACAAATCACTATGATAAAAGTATGATTGCTTACTTACAAACATACAATTACTTTCTTAGCAGTAAGTAAAAACAAACACACAAAACAAAACAAAACAACATCAAAATATTGTTTCTACTTACAATCCACGACGGTGTCAGCTATTTACTTCTTCCCGTTGGTTCTCCAGCCGTATGGGAAAATGCTAGGAAAGAGAATGAATATTGATTAACATTTCAATAGCACGTACGCTCACTTGTTTGCTACATTAGCAGATCATCACAACCAAATATGGATAAATGCTTGAGGGAAGAATTGCTTTGTACAACGCAATGGATTTGCAAAATGACCAATTTCTTGTTTTGATTAGCTCCGCATTAAATCCGTTTTTAACGCCTGTAAAGATTTGTCTTGCACTGGAAACAGTTGAATAATCTTGTAGCATTTTGTATACTTATCCCATGCTAAATACAATGTGCCACAGGAAGATTATTTGTGTAACATCTAAACATCTAAACAGAGTGATCATTGTTGTTTCAGGCATCGACATTTTAGAGTACATTTGTGTTACTATCATTGTTTTTTATTATTATAGTTGGTCTTGTATCAATAATATTTTTGTATTATTATTATAATCACTATTATTGTAAATGTTGTTATTCTTTCAATTATCCTCACCAACTATATCATTACCAAAGATAATTACAAAAATTCGCCCTTCAAGCTTTATTTACAACCGAAAATAGTTATAATATAATTTTGTTTACATCAGTGAATTTGTCGGAAGTTAGCGACACCGTTTATTATAGCACTACAGAAACAAAATATTTAATTTCTTTAATGTTTAAAGTCGGGGAGAGTATATAACAAATGCCCTAAATAAATCTGCTTTGTCGATATAATATGTAGTGTTCGATAAACTTAAAGATTACAGAATTCCCAGTGGCTTACCGTGTGCACAACAACAACAGACGAAATATGAGCAAACCCCAGTATACCGTATATACATAATGCCCATTGTTCTATCATTTATCATATTGATAGTTAGTTTATTATAAAGAATTTTCCTAGGTCTCAAAACAGATGGGTGTGGGGAATTTTACGTCTATTCCACCTTTAAATAGATGCTTATACTACTTCTTGTTACGATCACCCCTCACAGTTTTGGCATTGTTAGGACATTTTACAATATACGATGCATTTCAATCTAGTGACGGCCAATACCCACTTTACTCAAATGTATCGTACAATATGTTTAATGTAACAAAATATTATGCATATACCTCTTTGTGAAATGCCTCGATACATTATGAAATTCATCTATAATGAATAATTGTAATTCAATAGTCAGAATGCAAAATGCATACATTAGTTGTTGCCAGGTAAGACAAACGTTATGGCTTGCCCTACCTTCCAACACAATTATATGCATATTGCAATCTGCTATTGAAATACAATTATTTACTACAGGTGAATGGAATATGTATATTGAGGCACTTCACAAAGAAGTATGCATTACATTTGGTTACATTACGAAAATGGTTTATTGACTTACAATGGACGTCCTTTTCCTCTCTTCTCCATATCTTCCATACCGATGATGAGATCAGGATCACGTTTATATCCGTCATCATTCACCACTTCCACATCGAAATCATCCGAGGCTGAAGCTACCAGGATGAGAGCAATGGAGGCGAAGGCGAGAACGAGAAGGAGCTTGGAAGCCATTGTTTAGAGTTGATAGGAGCTTAAATCAACAAGAAGAAAAAGGTATGTGTTTATTCTAATCAAAATAACATGAGCTCCAATTCTTAACATCAGCAGGCTAATGCAGTAGGGGATATAGAGAGAACAAAATTGAGAGATAACTAGCTTCTTAATTTTTATAAAGTGCACCAGGTCCGTCATCAGACACGACGCTCATGGAGCTGTTCATACAAATGCAAATAAGAACACAAAAGAAGGTAAGTAAAGGATAGTAAAATGATCATTCAATTCAAAAGAATTTATCTACTGCTCTCATAATTTTTGATTATGAAATCAAAGTTCAAGTTATTGCATATTGTGACAATTATAAATTAAGAAAAGATAATCATTTGTCCTTTGCCCTTCAAATAATCTGTGAAACATTTCTTCATGAATTTGATCGTTCATTTTTTATGAGCACATTTGCATTATTCTATAAAAACAAAGTATTCAGTGATTTTTTTTTTTGGTGGAAATCCTTAAGATATAAGAAAATGAATACGTCCATAATTCAATCGAACCTACATATTGATCTTTTGAAGCAAAAGTTTAGTCTGTCTTTAATAGAATATCGGATTATTAAAATGGGTATCTTTTTCTATCTTCAACCAGTCCTAGTCCTTGAGAACTAAACGTGCATTATTCATATTTCATTATAGTTCTAAATCTGATCTACATGTAACAAGTCCTTGTGTTGAAATCAAAATGAAAAGCACTTACTCTTTCTTCTGGATCAAGAGGTAGTATCCAAGATGGCACACAGGCTATGTCTGGTTAATCCTCTCTCATTCCGATCACTTTTATAGCCTTTGAGAAAATATCAGCTGTCAATTAGAACTCCTGTCTTCACCATGCCTGATATAGCTTCTTTCCTTTGGGAGGATCTGATTACGATCTTAACACCGTCTTAATCAAAACAGACGGAGTCTCCAAGACACCTTGGCAGATTTATGATGACAGAGACTGGTAAACTTATCTCATCCGTTACGTAATATGGTCTGAAATTACTGAGTGCAGAGTTAGACTATCATGAAGAGTTTAAAAAAGGTGAAATTCAAAGAGGGAAAGAAATATATAAATTACTTCGGATTCTCAAGGGGGTAATAATTATTACATGTCACTATCGATGACCCTCGATCGGCTAGTTTGATGGTCATGTATGGTCAGTTTCAAGTGTGATCTTTAGATGAAACCATAGGCTTGATTACAACGTTATTAAAAATATATCAATGCCCTTTTAAAAGTTTATGGGGTGTGTGTCAAAAAGGGTGTATTTCTTCCACCCCACCCCCCCCCTCTCTCTCTCTCTCTCTCTCTCTCTCTCTCTCTCTCTCTCTCTCTCTCTCTCCCCTCTCCTCTCTCTCTCTCTTTCTTTCTCTCTCTCTCTCTCTCTCTCTCCCTGTCTTTCTCTAATTTCCCTCCCAATCACTCTTCGGCCACTGCCCATCATTCATTTCTTCTCATCCTTCCTGCATGTAATTCAGCATCAACAGGAATCACGTAAGCACGTCAGGCCCACAAGGCATCGAGCTTCGCATATATTGGAGCACTGGCAGTTCTGTGAGTTGCCCCGGCGGTTCCCCGCCCCTGCGCCTCCGAAATAATCAAGGCACAAAAAGACGTTAAGGGGCCGGTAAGGGTTCTCAATCTCCAGATATATCGCTGCTTGAAATCGCGTAAAATGTTACTTTGGAGGACATGCAATAACAAAACAAAAGTTCGAAAAGCTGTGGAGACCGCCCATTAATTTGCAGGACTTTTAAGAATCTTATTAAAATGATTTGAATTTTCTGAAATTTAAAGACATAATTATGGACATTGCATGAAACATACTACACTGTCGCTCATATAGTTGGAATATTATTTTTTTTACCCCAATTTATGGAATAATTTTGACAATGATTTATTCCTAATAGATCTAGATAATAGTATACATTCGTCAGAATTTATTGAATAATACTTTGCCAGTGTTTGTTTTGCGAGACTGCTGTAGCATGAGTATGCTACTATGCTTATCAACTAGGGGATCTACGCCCTTAATCATAAATGATAGTATTAATAAGGATTAATGCCCTGAAAAAGGGCACTATATAGCACATCGACACGGTTTTGATCCTGGGGCCTCACAGTTACGAGGCCATTGCTTGGTCACTGAACCATGACTGTTCGCAGAGGGGGCTAGGGTAGGGGGCAGTTCCCACAAATAAAAATAAAAAATAAAATGCAATCAATTTTCAATAATTCATTGAATTTCCCCCCGGTCCCCAACAGAAAAAAAATCTGTGTGCCCATACCTTGAGCCATAATGTATTGTCGTATATACAGAGGATTTTTTTATGTTGGGGGGCCGGGGTAAGATGAAATGAATTATTGAAAATGTATTGCATTTTCTTTGTATTTTTTTTAATTTGTGGGAACCGCCCCCTACCCTAGCCCCCGCTGCGTACAGTCACGGTTCAGTGGCCAAGCATTGGCCTCGTAAGTGTGAGGCCCCAGGATCAAGTATATTAGTGCCCTTTTGTGGGGCATTAATCCTCATTACTGTCATTTATGACTTAAGGGCGTAGGTCCCCTAGTTGATAAGCATAGTAGCATACACATGCTTTAGCAGTCACGCAAAACAAACACTGGCAAATTATTATTCAATACAATCTGAGAATGTATACTATTATCTAGATCTATTAGGAATAAATCATTGTCAAAATAATTCCATAAATTGGGGTAAAAAATATATTCCAACTATATGAGCGACAGTGTATTCTTTTTGCATTCTCGGAGGAGGAATTAGGAGAATGATAAAAACAAAAAGGAGGAGGAGGACAAGGATCGATGAGGAGGAGGAGCACTATAGAGGAGAAGTTTAGGAGGAAGAAATCAAGAAATGCACTATGGTTTGCCGCGCCTCATACACCAGGCCAAATACGCCTGCTCTCTGAAAGGGAATTTCCCCGATTTATTTACCGCAAAGAAATCGCGCGTCCGCACACATGCATGCACCACCGCACCATGCAAGTAAATGCACAGTACTCGAAATTGGAATTTCGTCCATGAGACTTGTTGGTCGCGCACGCGCACGGCCCCTGGAAAGAAGTGCTCTGGCAATAATCACAACACTTACCTGCTAACAGCAACAATCGACGACATTAGCCCACATTGAACTTTTGATCATCCAAGGTGCAGTGCATGCATCGGGAAATAAAGGTAATAATCTAAGCACCATTGCTATGTTATTGACGCATGCAGGTAACTGTGACCTACACAGCTATGCAGTGCAGAACTAAGTTAGAAGGCAATTAAGCAGCCGAGCCTGGCCCGCGCCCGGCAAGGTGCACTGACACTGGGCCTTAATTTGCCGGGCTACATCATACTTACAAGGCCTTTTTACAACCAAACGAGTAAGCGGCCTACAGTAAAATTCAACACTGTTTAAAGGTAATGACCCCAATTTCAAAAAGTGAAATGGAAGCTCTCATTACCAATCATGTGAAAGAATATGTTTTGACTAATACATGATGATAAAAAATTTGCCGGGAAACTGCCTACTAATTCATATATTTGGTAAATTTGTTTCTCTCATGGTCTGTGAGAGATATAGGGTAGTCCCATATACATCTTTCTGTGTATAGTGCTTGTAACTTTACAAAGAATGGGCCAAATTTCTTATCATTTTGATGATTCCAGAACCTTGCAGATGCTAGATGCTAGATGATCAACCTTTTCTGATCGATTCCACAACGTTTCTTTCACAATGCAATCGCATGACCATAACTGGTCTTTACCTTTAATCTTATACTTATTGCAGGTTGTAGTAATCCCAATCACAGCGCACAGTTCATTGGGAGATGTCACAGGATGAGATCTTAAATAAGTTGATGCCTTAATGTTATTTGGTAGGCATGGTAGGTGAAAATTCAGTAATTTTTAAACTCCTGCAAAGCTTGCATGAGGTCAAACCAGGCACGTACACAGGGGGGTTTAGAGGGTTAAACCCCCCCTTTGGTATTTTTGTGTGTGTAAACCCCCCCCCCCCCTAAATTTCCCTTATGGATTTCCCAAATATTCCCATGGCTGACCTCAAAAAGATGACCTTACCCCCCCCCCCCCCCCCCCAACGGAGCAAAATGTCAATTTTTCAAATTTTGATACCAAAAAAAAAAAAAGTGTCCTCTTACCCCCCGCTTATTTTTTGGGACCAAAAAAAAAAAAAGTGACCTCTTACTTTCATCCCGTGATGACATTCCCTCCATTTCTTCCCGTTCTGCACATTATTCGGAGCAACCTTATCCACATTCTTTCTTTACTTTAAGTCTTTACTCAGGGGCTGATCTAGCTTTTTGCTAAGGAGGGGGGGGGGGGGGGGGGTTGACCCAATAACGCTGCTGAGCATCGTTGCAACGAGGCGATTTTTTGTTGTTGTGCTATTTTGAACCCCCTGTAAGGGATGTTTTCCTGGCATCTACTAACATCTACTAATACTCTGTGGGTCTAGACACATAATGCCGTTTTTCTATGCACATCACATTTTCACTTGGCAGCCAAAGGGGGGGGGGGTTAAACCCCCTAACCCCCCCCCCCCCCTCCCCCTCCCCTCTCCGTAGATCCGCCCCTGTTTCCATATCCTTCCACAACAACTTTGGTCTTCCTCTTCTTCTCAATATTGATTTACTGGTCGATATTCATTATTTGCTGGTCTTTTGGAATCACCAGATTTCAGGAGATTCATGCTTTTCACAACAAAAAACTTCTCCATGACCATGTTTCAGCCCTTGGACAATCGCCTCCAGCTCCAGCAGATATGGGGCGGTAGCGTGCACACGTACGGGTACTAACGGCGCAGTATAGCCACTGTTGACGGCCGCACTGCACTGCAAGGTACCGTTGTATTCGTAATACTCATAGAGATGGGAGATATAACACCATCTTCCGGCGAATAAGCGTACATTTGTTTACAATATGGCAGCCTTTACTCTCTAGACACCGACAAATTCGAGCGAGAAATCTTGCATGCTAATCTAAGTTCCATTTCATTGGTTTAAGGTTTGAAAAATGAAACTCAAAATTGTGTTAAAGTTATAACAGAAAAGATAATCTTTATTTTATAATTCCACAGGGGCGATTTTTAATTTTAAAATCGCCCCCGTGAGCAACCCGACGGAGGCGATTATGCAGCTCACGGGGGTGAATTGCCTACCGCCCCACGTGTATTTTGAGCCTTGATTGTGAATAATACTTTAAACAGGATCGAAAGAGCACTTGCAAAGTGTACTTCGGAAACTAATACTGTTTGTTTTTAAGAGGAATTAGATGGTCAGCGTTACATTCACATAGTCATGGACCTACTATTAATAGGTCAGTCCATGATATGTATCCCAGCAGCACATTTAAGATTGTTTGCTACTTGCTAGGCTACCTACCTATACTGACTACTGAGTAAAGAAACTAATAGTAAATGGATTTGTTTACATTGATGATAATGACCTGTAATGCTGTAGATAGCTCAGAGGTCTTCATTCATGGTAAAATGAAAATAACTCTTCACTGTAGGATTATTTGATCTTAAATGGAAGACACAAATTAAATCTTCCTTGGAAGTAGGTAGTTTCATTGTAGTATAGTATTGTGACCTTTTGTTTTGTTTGCCTTCTCTTTGTCATTATTTTATTCCATTTTAAATAAGGGCGAGTCCAGGATATTAGGTAATTTGGGGTCCTGTGTGCTACCAACTATTATTTAGTTCGGCACATAAATTTACATCAAACCCAGCATTTCACTTTATATTTGGTTTCGTACAAGCTGTTAGAAATGCAACCTTATATCCTTTGACTACTGAATTCTCTATTTCCCATAGGCTTAATTCATGGACTGCTTGGTTCCAGCATAGACGTTATACAATGGACTATCGACGAAGCAGTTTCTTTGATCCTATGAGTTCCACCGGCAAGGTTTAAATTTCGCGCCGATGCAAAAACCCAGCGGTGGTCCCACCGCAACCCGACAGCTGGATGCGATCACTTGCGCAATCTTTCATAATCGCAACAGCAAGCTCGCGATTTGGGGTTGTTCGCTGCTCCTTCAAATCGTTGAGAACCTAGTGTTAAATAGTATGAGCGCTCTCCGCCATGCGGTCGTAGCGAACATGTTTTCGTCTTCGTCTCTGACGATATTATTGTTATTGTTTTCAGCGTTGTATTTATACTAACAATTATTATTTATTTCGATGTGTGTATTGTTCCATAATACATATTTTTCTCGTACTCATGAGTCATGTGTTGTTTATAAAGTAATTAGAAGGGCAGGATTATCATTAGATGACATAAATAAGGAAGAACTTTATGATTATGATGGGCAGTCCATATATCGACATAGCAGACGACGGAAATGTTGAATATTTTGCAATGGTCAATTCCCAAATTTACGGACACAGATATTTATCCTAATTCCTAGATTCTCAAAAAAAAACGTACACATATAGTAGGCCTACATCAAGATAAAATAAGATAAAATCTGAGGGAAGAAAAAAAAAGCAGTCACTCTCGGATTAACAAGTCAAAAATATAACTTGAAAAAAACATGCACCCGCCGATCTCTATCAATGGGACTACGTGTGCAATTTGGATTAGACAAAGGCACGGCAATTTAGTGGTCATGATGCGAAGAAGTCACGCATTACCACAGATTTTCTGAGCACTCACGAAAACAACCCCATTCTTCCAATGCCTATAAAAAAAACGCACGCAAACGCAACAAATAACGAATGATTGTATTCGACAAACGAAGGATTTGTGATCACCACAACGTCGTTGGTTTCACAGAGAAATTAACGGAAACAGGAGAAAAAAACACTTTTTAAACTGTATTTTGTAAGCTCTTGTGGTGACTTTCCTTGCTTATATGATGAGTTTGCTACACACCAACACAAATTCGTAAAAAATCGAAGAAATCACCGATTTCAACGGCTTTTTTTACAGATTGGCGAGCATGAACAGGACGTAAACCTCATGTTTACATCCGGGGCACTATTGACGTAGTATTTAGCTGCGCATGGGCAGAAGGCTCTCCTGTCACGATTCATTCATGAAATGAGAAGCGCAAATCGTGGGAAGCATTGGTCAGTGCGAAGCGACTTGGCCGATAGAGGTCGGCAAAATCCCGGTGGATCTCATAGGACCAAAGGACCCTTATCGGAGCTAAGTCCATTTCTATTACGTCTATGGTTCCAGGAGGCAATTCAGTGGTCTCATATATACATCTGAGGTGGGGTCATTTGAAGATAAAGATATTATGTGAAAGAAATAGTACAAAAGAATTGGATGAAGGCCTGTTTTGTGTGCAGTGTGTGCACCCATGCGAATTTGAGGTTACAAGGTGCAAATTTTCTCTAGGCCATATGTTGCCAGACAGGCCGCTATATACATGTAGTCATTGATGTGTTTACATAAACATATCACAGGCTTGTTCTCTACTTATACCTTCCCACTCCAGCCTATCTCCCTCTCTCTCTCTCTCTCTCTCTCTCTCTCTCTATCCCCCTATCCCCCTCTCTCTCTCCCTCTCTCTCTTTCTTCCTTTCTCCCCCTTTCACAGTCCCTTTCTTTCTGTCCCTCCCTCATTTGTCCTTTCCTCCTCCCTCTCTCCCTTTCTCTCTCTCTCTCTCTCTCTCTCTCTTCCTCTTTTCCTCTTTTCCTGAATGTTGAAATGTTTTACCTGCACATTCAGACCATCTCTCAAGCTTTCTCTTTTTTCCTCCATTCTGTCTCTCCCTACCTAGCTCGCTCCCTCTCTCTCTCTCTCTCTCTCTCTCTAACTCCCTTTTTCTCACCATCCCCTGTCCCTCTCTCTCTCCCTGCCTCCCATTCTCTCCCTTTCTCCCTCCTTCTCTCCCTTCCTATCTTCTTTCTCTCTTCTTTCTCTCTTCCTTCCTCTTTCTCTCTTCCTTCCTCTTTCTCTTTCTCTCCCTCACTCTCACCCTCCCTCCCTCTCTTCCTCACTCTCCTCGTCCCTCTCTCCCTTCTTCTCTCCCTCCCTTTCCCCTTCTCTCTTTCTCCCTCCCACTCTTTCCCTTCTTCCCCCTCTCCCTCTCTCCCTTCTTCCCCCTCTCCCTCTCTCCCTTCTTCCCCCTTCCCCCTTCCCCCTTCCCCCTTCCCCCTTCCCCCTTCCCCCTTCCCCCTTCCCCCTTCCCCCTCTTTCAAGATCCCTCTCACTGATTTTTCTTCTCTTACATTGAAGCAACAGCTTTATGCAAAACCCATTCTGACCAAATGGAGGAAGGATTTTTGTAATTGTAATACAGCAGCTATGTACAAAAACACCTTTTGCAGTCCAGGCCTATAAATATATACGAAAATCCCTTTTTGCATTATTTTGTGCCTACAATATAATGCAATGAAAAATGCCCATGTCCTTATATATAGAACTGTGTGTTAGTCTATCAGTGAGAATCACCCATTCTCTCTTGTTCACCTCACAGCTTACCATCACATCTGGTGCTCTTAACCAGATGCTTCAACCCGGGCAAACAACTGCTGTGATTTATCGGATCAATGTTTGCTGTTTAGTGAACTCAAGTCCTCTCCTTTCCCGATATTTGAGAGCTAATTACATACATTGGACCAATGCTGTTCCAACACGTTCGCTCTGCCACATCACATCTCTCTACTAGCTCTCTCTCTCTCTCATCTCTATTCCACATCATCGTAACCAGTACCTCGTTTCTGAGCTATTTATGCAGACGTGTGATATCTTCCATGAATTTTTCAGTGAGTTTGTCACCTTTTGTGATATATTGAGGATCTTTTTATTTGTTTCGTTATTCAGTTCTCGCCTCTGTGAGCAACGCAAGCATTGGTTCAGTGAGCAGTGTTCCAAACCAAAAGAGTTTTCCACTAATTAAAAAGGTAAGTGAGACTATTCACACACGTAATGATTAGTTGATATTCAAAATTTGATACATGTATTGGAACTGCTATCAGAATCTCACTTGTTTTCATGTGTGAACTAGAAAATCTGACAAATTTATGAGATTCTGATCATGAATGGTTCATATTGCAAAGGTTTTTGTAGATGACTAAATTGCTATGCACTAGCTCATTGTTTTAACCAAGATCAGAAGAAGTGAGAAAGAACAAGAAAGAAAGAACAAGAAAGAAAGATATATCATCCAACATGCAAACAGGCGGAGAAAAAGTGAGATTTTATGTGATATTTAAATCTTACTTGTTTTTCTTATTGTGTGTTTGTACTTGTAAAGCCTTTACATTTAAGCCTCAATATTTAAGCCTCAATATTTGAAACCTTTCTTTTTTTTAAATAATAGTGGCATAGCCTCCAATTGTCTGTGCCCTTTCTGTTCTGAAGCTGATACAAAATTCATCACTCTTTGAAATGAAATACAATTTGATAATTTGTTTGCTTTAAAAATGTATGTAATTCATATGATTGCACTTAATGGAATCCTTTCAAATAGAAATAATCCTGTTTGTTTGGTTATACTGTAGGATGTGTCTTCTCCCCCCCCCCCCTCTCTCTCTCTCTCTCTCTCCCTCCCTCCCTCCCCTTTTGAATCTCTCTCTCTTTCTCTCCCTGTCTCTCTTTTTTTCTCTGTGTTGCCAACACCTTTTATAGTTATCTCTCCCTTTTCTCTCTGATTCTCCTCTTTTCCTCGCACGCATCCTCCCTTCTCTCTCTCTCTCTCCCCCCCCCCCCCCCCCCCCCCCCCTCTGTATCCCTCTGTCTGTTTAATCTCTTTTATTTTGCTTTATCGGTGACCACCCTATTTCATTTATCATAGAAATCCATGAATAGAAATTGATGTTCTTTTATTGTTTAAGTTCAAAGGTCTATGCAGCCTGTCGCGATGTAAAAAGATTACCAGTTTCGTATGCAGGCACCTATACTCCTGGGGGGGTGTTTCACAAAGATCCTAAGTTGAAATTACCTCTAAGTTGGACTTAAAAATTATGGAAAGCCATAAGCATCTTTGAAAATATTTTGTAAAAGTTATTTTGAAAGGCATTAATTGTTCATTCAAATCATTCATATTTTCTATCATCAAGGAGATTTCATGTTCTGGATGTGGAATTTATAAACAGTCTAAAATACTTGAATTTCTGCTTTTGAATATATTTCATTTTAAGACTCCAATGGCTGTCCATATTTTGTATGTCCAACTTAGAGTTAAGTTCTACTTAGGATCTTTGTGAAACACCCCCCCCCCCCCCCCCAGGTTTACACCCTACATTTTTTGCGAGACATGTAGCATATAAAGGTGCATAGGGTGTGACTCTCCTACACCCTGGGCCTCCAGTTAACGTTCTAGTCGGAAGAACAGAGTGTTTTCCCCTGAACAACTCAAGCCCGCATCAAGAACATAGGGGAGAGGCCCGGTTTAGGCTTACACACAATGCAGCGATAATAATTATTTCAGTTTTGAAAAAGCGTGGGACTCAAACCCAAGCGCAAGGATGAAATTCATTCATGAAAGCCAGATGATGATCCGATTGCGCCACATGGCCTCAGTGAAAAAAGTACACGGGTCTCGTGGCGAAATAGCCCCTGAAATGCCCAAAAGAGCCCCCCAAAATTAGAAGAGAGCCCCTGTATTAAATTTGCATATAGAGTTCAATGCAAAACAAATTTTAGAGTGTTATTTTCATGCAGGCAAGCTTGAAAAGTAGCTCCTGAAAAATAAATATAATTTTTTTTTCCCTGCGTCGCCTACCTGTTTAATCAGGTCCTCAAGACCTTGCATTGCAAGTTTGAGTATTGCCACCTCTTTTGTCCCAGCATTGTTATATCCATTGGGAATATTGATGACTTCATCGTGTTAACGCAATTGCTTTATGTCTACCGTAGTTTCAAGTTTGCTTTTCATTGATCCTTAACCATATGTTCGTCGTCATTTATCACCTTCATTCAAAATCATTCTGACACCCCACATATACAGGTAGGCCTATAGACGCTGAGAAGGCAAAGCACCTTGTTAATTTTGAAAAAGAAGGGTATTTGCTTGGTTTGGTATGGATTGGGTGTGTGGAATATACTCAGAAACTCTACCAATAGTCTTCATATATATATATATATAGGCATATTACACAAAGTCTAGTGATATGAAACAATGGACAAGTTTCCATAAATGAACAAAATTTTAACCCATTAGGCATTAATTTTAATCTAATTTTTGGTTTGCCACCCAAGATAAATTTGTCTTTTCGTATCATTAAATTTGGCTAAGCTTCCACATTCTGAGCAGTGCATGTGTTCATTTCTTTTTCTTTATCCCCCTTTCTTTATCCCTCTTTCTTTATCCCTCTTTCTTTATCCCTCTTTCTTTCTTCCTTTCTTCATTATTTCTTGAGTAATCCACACAAATACAAGCACTGCTGTTAAGTGGATTTCTCAATTTCCTTTAAAATATGCCTCAATTTATAAAAAATATCATGCTTATATCTTGTGTATCCTAAATTGTTTTTTATTTTGTTTATTGACATTTAATATTGAGCTATAATGACAAATAATTTTTTTTTTCTATGTTATATTGTAAATTAGATATAACTGTAATAAGTCAAGCAATAAGGACGCAGGATTCAATTTCAAGGATTCCATTTGGTTCCATCCTTATTGGTTCAGACTTAAACAACTCTTTTCTGTCTCTCTCAATATCCTGTAGAACTGTAGGTCCTGCAAGGGACACACCCAAATCCAACATGGAGTCTATGGCCCGTATTCTGAAGTCGTGTCTAACTTAGCCACGTCTAAAGTTAAACAACTGTTTAGTTAGACACGACTTAGACAGGACTTAGACGCGAGGTCGTGTCTAAGTCCTGTCTAACTAAATTTCGTATTCTGAAGTCGTGTCTAAGTCTCGTCTAACTAAACAACTGTTTAAGTCCTGTCTAAGTGGTGTTTAACTAAACAACTGTTTAAGTTCTGCGCAAGTCGTGTTTAACTCTTAGTCACGACTTCTGCGCATGCCCAGTAGGCGTTAATTTTGACGAAAGACCCAATGCGCATGCGTGCGCGCATCGGATAAATAAATTAACGCGCACAGCTAGTTGTGCGCGTGCTGGTACCATGGTGATGTGATCGTGACGTAATGACTAGACTGCATGTACTTTGTGTACGTACGTACGTACGTAGTACACGTACTGTACACTGAGATTGACAAACACACTACTTATCAGTGCCTCAGTGCTCGGAAGAACCAGAAAAGAAACTTCTCCAACAGAATGGTTAGTTTATTATAGATTATGGAATTTCCAAGATGTCACCAGTAGATAAGAATAGTTAATATTATCGAGGAAAAAAATTAGGCTACACGAGAAAAAATCCTGCAAAACATATTTGAAATTTTAGAGAATGCACGTACCATCGTTCTCCCCCGCAAGTTTGGGGTCAGCAAGTAGAGTGTACCGTCGACGTTGAAAAGCAGCAGAATCGCGCCCTTAAACAGGACTTAAACAACCCCTCACAGTTGTCTAAAGTTAAACAGGACTTAGACAGGACTTCGTGTTTAACTTTATTTAAACACGACTTCAGAATACCAAAAAAGTTAGACACGACTTTGTGTCTAAAGTTAGACGGGACTTAGACAGGACTTAGACAACTGTTTAGTTAAACAGGAGTTAGACACGACTTCAGAATACGGGCCCATGTCTCTAAACACCTCTTTTCTCAGAGCCCACCAAAACATGCGTCTCTCTACCAACATGACCAGCATACCTTCTCTGCATACATTATCCACTCTTCTTTATATATTAATGCCCATGCATGCTCATTGAACTGTTTAACATTCTTTAAGTCATGTCTTCCACAAGGTGCAGTGGATGCATATATGTGTACACCTGTAGTCATATCACTACATAACTTTTACATAAGCAATCTTTCATGTTTTAATCAAGTTTTGGAAATAAAATTATTTGAATTGAATTGAATGAATTAAGTAAGCATGAGTTCACAAAATACTTGTCCCCCTGTTTCCCTTGTTTGCACTTTGTGTATTAGATGAATCACAGCAAGATGACTCTTGCCAGTGCAGTCCTTCTCTGTCTCACCATGTTCCTGGGTATGAGCCAAGCTAAAGTATCCTTTCCAAAGGA